GCGTTTACTTGGATGACGTCATAATATACAGTAAATCACTCCAAGAGCACATAGAACGCTTGAGACTAATATTTGAACGGTTCAGACAATCAAATTTCAAGATTCAATTGGATAAGTCCGAATTTTTACACAAAGAAGTCAATTACCTTGGACATTTAATAACCAAAGAAGGCGTGAAACCCAATCCAGATAAGATAGAAGCTGTAAAAAACTTTCCTATACCCAAAACACCAAAAGATATCAAATCATTTTTAGGACTAGCTGGATACTATAGAAGATTTATAAAGGATTTTGCTAAAATTGCCAAGCCAATGACATTATGTCTTAAGAAAAATGCTAAAGTCGAACATTCCCCAGCATTTTTATCGTCATTCAACCATTTAAAAAATCTTCTAATTAATTCCCCAATCCTTAAATACCCTGATTTCACACAGCCCTTCGTATTAACAACCGATGCTTCTAATACAGCTCTCGGTGCAGTTTTATCTCAATCAACACCCCCCAACGATCATCCCGTGGCGTATGCTTCCCGCACGCTAAATGAAACAGAACAGAGATACTCGACAATTGAAAAAGAATTGCTCGCTATCATCTGGGCATGTAAATACTTTAGGCCGTATTTATTTGGAAGGAAATTTCAAATATATACAGATCACCGACCTTTAGTCTGGCTTTTCAATGTTAAAGAGCCAGGTTCAAAACTTATTCGATGGAGATTAAAGCTTGAAGAATACGACTACACCATTATATATAAAAGCGGCAAACAAAATACAAACGCCGACACTCTTTCAAGAATTCCACTCAACGCTTTAGAAACAGAATCTCTCCTTAATAATCCAGGAGATATTACAACTGACATCGATAAATTTCTAAACGAAATCGATAAAAATCTTCTAGAAAAACATCACACTGACGAATATAACAAAATCATAAACGAACTTAATCGACCGGTTGAATTACCTCCAGTGCCTTCAACTTCTCAAGAGCCTTCAACCTCTCGAATAAAAATTCTTGAAGATATCCGAATTAAACCACCAATGGATAATACGTCCAGTACTGACACTGCTCATAGTACAAACGCAGACGAAACCCTAAATGAAATCCCAATATTAGACGAAATAATTAACAACAAAACGAATCAATTAATTGTGAAAAAATCACCATACGACGCCTACATAAAAAGAGAATTTGAAACCTTTGACGGTAATAGGATAATCCGAGCAACGATTCCCACGAAACAAGAAGCGATAGTAAATTTTCTGAAAGAAAACCTCACAGAGAAAACTACCTATGTGCACTTTTTATCAAAAGAATTACGTGTTTTATTTCAAGAAGCATTATCTAAACACTTTTGTAATTTCAAGCTTGTAGAATGCACAAAACTCATTAATAATGTTAAACCAGAGGAAAGAGAAATGATAATAAGATTTTCACACGAAGGCAAAACTAACCATCGAGGAATACAGGAAACCCTAAAACGCCTGAAAATTAATTATTATTGGAAACCCCTGAAATCTGACGTCACTAAATTTATTAATGGATGTGAAATATGTCAAAGAACTAAGTATAACAGGAATCCACCAGACCAACCTCTTGTATTGACAGAAACACCTTCGAAACCCTTCGAGATTATTCACCTCGATACACTCCTTGTAGATAAACAAAAATTCCTAGTAATTATAGACAAATTTTCCAAATATGGACAAGCCCTTCCTTGCGTTGGCACCGCCATATCAGTATCCCAAAATCTAATCCATTTCTTTTCATTTTTCGGTATCCCTAAATTGATTGTATCCGATAATGGAACAGAATTCAAGAACGAAGTAGTTAAGGATTTATTGAAAACACATAATATTAAAATCCATTTTACTACTCCAAATCATCACGAGTCGAATTCGCCCGTTGAAAGGTTAAATTCAACCCTGATAGAACACATAAGAATACTACGAGAAAAAAACAAAAATACTGACGTATCAACCCTAATGTCCTATGCTGTAATTGCTTATAATAGCACAATCCATTCAAGCACAGGCTTTACTCCCTATACATTGATTTTAGGACACACTTCTTCTAGTGACCCTATGCAACTTATGCCCGCGCAAATATTCACTGAATATGTCCACAATCACAAAACTAACACGGAAGCTTTGTATAACAAAATACAACAAGACTCAATTAATTTAAAACAAAAACTTATTGACAAACATAATCAAAAGAAGACCCCTCAAAAACTAACCATAGGGTGTCAAATATATAAAAAACAAGACAAACGACGTGGTAAATTACACCACAGATTCACAGGTCCATTCATCTTAACAAAAATATTAGAAAACAACAAGATTGAAATTGAAAACCCCAAAACAAATCGAAAAGAGATTTTGCATATCAACGAAACCAAAATCAAATCTATTGTTACAGATGGATCCGAATCTTCAACATCGGAGCAGTAGGAATAAACTTCCATAACCTGAATAAATATCCCGGACTCCTACCTTATAAATTGGGAACTGCCAAAATAGTTTCCAATCATTGGTCATTAATACAAATTCACGACCTAACACCCCTTGTTAACGAATTTTATTTGATCAAAGAAAACGCTAACTATTTAATTAAAAACATTACAAATAATGTATCCTATGAACGAGAATATAAAAACACGTTGCTGCCTTTAATGGCATTAGAAAAACGCATAGAAAACAACATAAGGCAAATTGACCCAACGAGTAGTTACTCAAAAAGACAAAAACGTGGCATCTTGAATCCTTTAGGATCATTAATAAAATGCATTACTGGCAATCTTGATAAAGATGATGCAGATCTTTATGATAGGCAAATTAGACAATTACAAGAAAATCAAGATAAACTTAAAAAATCATCTTTTAATCAAATTAATTTATTAGGGAAAACCATTGAACAGTTTCAAAACGTTATCTCTAATATATCTGCCAATCAAATAACGCTAAAATCGAGAATACTGCAAATTGAAAGCACAATAAAAAAGGTAGCTCTGTCTGCTATTGACAACCATCAATACTTCCAAACTCACATAATAATTAATCAGATATCAATGCTATATCAAACAATTTACGATATCTTAGAAAAAACGGAAGTAGCTATCTCATTTGCTAAAATCAATACGCTCCATAATTCAATAATCGATCCATTAGAGCTAATAAAAGAAATTTGTAGATTTAAAAAACAATTAGTGCATGACGTGTTACCATTAGAAGCCAATATTGATAACATATTGAACTACGAAAAAATAATCGAGATTAAAGGTTATTCAAAGGGCCTGATTATCACCTTCATCTTGGAAATACCATTGGTCGAATCGGATGTCTATCACTATTATCAATTATTTCCGATACCAATTCCAAGCGAACAAAATCCTGATTTCTTTATGAACTTTCCACACAAACCATACCTTGCACTTAGCAACAACAAGTACTCTTATATGGACCAAACCTGCAACCAATTGTTACCCAACGAGTACTTATGTAAAGAAGCCCATACTGCATACATTGATCATGAGCCTCCATGTGCAGTCCAATTGATTTTATACAAAGAAAATGCCACTACTTGCCACCCTTTCCGTATTAGACTACAAAATGTCCAAATCACTAAAATAACGGACGGAAAATGGATAATCACAACGCCCGAACAACTAATTGTCTCAGCATCTTGTCCAAATTCTAAGGACAACGTACCGCTTCATGGTTCCTACTTAGCCGAATCTACAAATGAATGCAGCTTACAAATAAAGTCAATTACTCTACGAACTTATAAGCCCAATCGTTTGACTTATGATGATGTATCCTTGCCTACACTGAATTTATCGATGAATTATTACCAAACAAAGGAGTTTGCTTTTAATCCACCTACACTTGACCTGAACTCCATCAACTTGAAGGAAACCAATGAAATTGCCACAACGCTTCAAGAACAGAAGAGACGACTACAAGAAATATCTAACCCAATGGAAATGCACCAAATAAATTTTTGGACAATTTTACTTTATTGTATTTTAGGAATACTATGCATTTTTACTGTCTATAAATTACTTTTGAAACATCGCCTTAAACGTGCCCAAAAAGCCTCGTTAGAAGACGATATTGTAATTTAACAATTTTACTTTTACTTATTTAGTTTAATCATATTTTTCTTTTAGCATTTTCTTTATTTTTTCCATTGTATAAAACCATACCTTTTTTGGTATGCTTTTAACTTAGGATGGAGGAGTTATATCCCGTGAGAACTCCAATTCAGCATTTATATTGTTCTATTCAGCTTATTTTTAATATTATAAAAGGAGTAATTTCTAGATTTAAGTTAGTTCTATTGTATTAGTCAAATAAAGTTTTTTAAAAACGCTCTCTCGTGTACACCCCTCGTAAGTAATGCGATAATATTATGTATGTGGTATTTGTTGATTTTCGTTTAAAATAGCGGAATTTCCGAGGGAATTTTGCAACGTCATTGAAATATTATAATATATTTATATATTATGCAATTTAAGGATTTTTTGTTTAAATGGAACTTGAACGCTTGAACTTCTTTTATCTACAAGTAAAACCACTTCAAAAAAAAAAACCGCGAATCCAAAAAGATTGTTAAAAGTAGACAATTTTTTATTTCTTCTATAGAAATTGTAATAATTTTTGTTTTTGAAATTGTACAAGTTAAAAGTGACGCAACTTTGTCATGCATTTTCAGGATGCGGTGGTTTCAGGCGCGACGTGTTTTATATTTAAAACGTGTTACGCTTCTTCCGGCATTCGACCTCAACAATTTATTAAACCTATAAAAATTTCAATTATCCTCAACAAATCCACAAAAATAATGTGTATTTGAAATTAGGCAACCTGAAACCTCAAAAATTCATACCATATGCCTCAAAAAAAAAATTCATTTAAAACTTTTGCAACATTGCAAGGTTTCAAAAAAAAATAATAAAAACCAAGATAAAATACCTAAATAAATATAGTCTATAGTAAACTTACCTCAAAAAAACTTTTCACTCCTCACTCAAAACACGTAGACTGTAAACCACGCGTCTTTTAAATAACGAAATATCGACGTTACTATCGTGCCTACTATGGCACGTTTCAGACTGAAATAAAACGTGACCCTGGTTCTAGTGTATATCAGCTAAACCCGAAGATTATGACGTCACACAGGTATGGTTAAAACGGGAGAGACTGAGAGGGAAAGTGGGGTTTTATGTGTGTTGGATAAGGACCAGTTGCGTGGTGTGGGGCAGCTGTTGGATTTTTCGGCTGATGCAATTCGTTAGGGGTGTTTCTTGTCGTAAGGGTTGCACATTTAGCGGAGAATTTGGAATTTTTCGAGATTTTTTGGGGTTTCCCAGCATTTTTCAGGCACATTTGCTTGAAGGGTTGTTCGTGTTATTCCTGTGAAAATATTTAGGTCTAGATTCAGATTTCAGCGCTTTTTTTATTTTAAATTTGTAACCAATATAGAATTCAACGGTTTTTGAAGGATTTCTCAAGAATTCTATTTTATAGTAATTCATTCACCTTATTGGTTATTCTCTTTTAGTTAGCTGGTGATGATGTTCTTGTCATGCGTGAGGGTTAACAGCGCTTTTCAGGCACAAATAGCTTAAAGAATTGTTACTAGGAATAAAATTGAGTCCAGATTTCAAAGCTTTTTGTACCAAATCTTATTATAACAAACTATTAATCCAATGTAGAATTCAGCTCTTTTCGACGTTTTTTAAAGGATTTCTAGAGAAATTAACAGTTTTAAAATTATTAATGACCCTAAAATCATTAACTATCAGTAATAGACCGGTGCATAACGACCATTTTTTTGAAACGATTTTCTCCCGTCTGCCATTAAGGGCGGTTATTCTTTATGCAATAAGAAGTGGAATGGCTGAAATTTCAAAGAGCCCCGTGTGTGGCAATACAGTGATATGCTAATTTGAAAATGTATTGAAAAGTGGAAAAATGAGTACAAGGAAGCTAAACGGCGGAAACCCTATGTTAGTATAAAGTGTCATATTACTAATTTCAAAATGTCGCCAAAATCGGACATGTGGATCAACGACCTCCCGTCTGCCAAATTGAATTTATGTTTCATTCACGATGTAATACATCAATAAGTAAATGACAGAAAATCTCGGTTGGTATAATAATTTTTAACAATTTTTGAAGTTGTATCAAAATGCTGAGATGTTAAAACAATTTTCTCCCGCCTAATACATGTTTTGTTACAATAGATTTTAGATAAATAATGTACCTTTGCATCGGCAGAAAAATAGAAGCAGTACAGATATTTATTTTTATCTACAAGCGTTTGTTTATGACGTTTTTACATAACCATTTTTCTATTATTTGAGTTACGTCATGAGACTCATAACACAACTGGTGGTGTTATAGACTAGGTTATGAATTCATAACACAACTAGTGGTGTTATGGACGAGGTTATGAGTCTATAACACAACTATTTTTGGTGATTTGACAAATGTCAAAGGTAAACCTGTAAAGGTAAAATGAAGGTAGACAACTATTAATAACGAAAATAATTGGAAAAATATTCTTAATTTTCGCTTTGTAGATAAAACGTTGTACATCACACGTGTGTTTAAACATAACTACAAAACTCGTGTGATTAGAACGACTCGGTCTACGACCTCGTCGTTTTAATCCTTCACACTCGTTATTGTAATCATGCTCATAAACGCACTTGTAATGTAAATAACTATTAATTTTTCAAAATGTCAAAAATTTTCAAATTTGAGATCAATTATTTCCCGTCTGCCATTAATTTATATTAAATAAGTTGCTACCAGAAGCTAAAGTTTTGACTGGCAGAAATTATAGACTGGTACAAGTCCTAATAAACAATGAACAAAATTACGACAGAAATTGTTCATATGATAAACGTTTTTAACCCGTCTGCCATTTGGTTAACTGAAATGTAGTTATGAGCATATGCATATTTTGAATATGACAGAAACCGCAATAAGTTACATAAGTTGCACATATGGTTATTAAATTGCAATTTTCTTCCGTCTGGCAACTTAATTGAGTAGAGTTACTATCAAAACAACTGAATACCTATCAAAAAGCAAAATGACTGCTTATTTACAGGGTCTGTTCCTTATAATTAGTGCGGCTCCTACAACTTAAAAGAAAATACAGAAAAAAGTAAAATACAAAAGTTGTAGGGTTTTATCTCTATTATCTTTCGTATATGTCAAAATAGGCAAATGACAGGTACCAACTGTCATAATGACAGCACTTGCATTTTTTTTTAAAATGAACCACCCTGTATATTTTTAGCTACGATAATAGATTTTTTTCTTGTGATTTCAAATATACCATATACAGGGTGACAACGAAATCGTTATACAAGGCGTCATTCAGTTGTCTTTAAATTAAAAAATTTGAAAATCGGGTAAGTCATTGAGACGCACACTTTTTATTTAAAAAAAAAATTGAATATCACTTCCGGCTACTTTGGAAATGGAACCAAGTCAAGAAATTTTCATGGAACCCTGTATATTTTTTTACACAGTTGGATAGAGCTTAAAATTCCCTTTTCAATGACATATGATAAGTGGAATTTTGTTTTTAAGATGGCGGCGTGAGAAGGCACTTTCTTAAATTCAATATGGCGGCATTCTGACCTAACCTTTGAATACCCCAACCGAAAAATGAATATGCATTTTGGTAGAAATTTTTCGGTAGGCCATTGGACACACGTCAATTCTAGAATTTAATAAGTACTTCTTCCTATTCAAAATTTTTAGAAAATTTGAAACTGAAATTTGCATTTCAAAGAAATTTTGAAATGCCCTTGTTTTTGAACAAAATCATTTTTTATTTTTTCAAGTTCGATCTAAAACCATTTCAAATCTAAAAATTATGGATTGTTAAAAGTGTTTGTTTGACAGAAACATTATCGGTTACGTCAGAATGCCGCCATATTGAATTTAAGTAAAATACCTTCTTACGCCGCCATCTTGGAAACAAATGCAAGTTGTGATATGTCATTGGAAAGGGAATTTCAAGCTCTATCCAACTGTGCAAACAAATATACAGGGTTCCATGAAATTTTTTTGACTTGGGTCCATTTCCGGAGTAACCGAAAGTGATATTCAATTGTTTTTTTTACGAAAAATGTGCGTCTCAATGACTTCACCCAATTTCAGCGATGTTACAGAGGATACAATTGTACCAAAAGGAGTACATTGAAGACATTGATAGTACAGTGGTACAATCAGATGAAAAAATGTACAATCTTATATTCGTTCAGGAATTATTAACTATTCCCTTTTTAAAAAATTTCACATTCAAAAAATTTATAAAACTTATATTTTCAAACGTACCAGCTTCATAATAGTAAAATAAATAGAGCCGTTTTCGGGTGCCATATTTTGAGTACTCCAGAGTTACTCCAAAGTACTTCGTCCGCCCTTTGGCGTGTTCGTCTAGGCAAATTTCGCGCTCCGGAGCTGTTCTTATTTTCCTCGTCCCCGTCCCCTGAAGCACCTACTTTAACCGCTTTCGGGTGCAGAGTGCGAAGCAACATTTCACACTCGTTAAGCTTAATTCTCACTTGCGCGAAATTCGCTCTTTTCTGACATTGCTTCAATAATTTGACGTTTAATACACGCATCAAGTTGTCGGAGCAATGTCAAAAAAAGAGCAAATTTCGCGCAAGTGAGAATGAGGCCTAATACTTCATGCGTTTTGCACTCGAACGCTTGAAACCGTATTGCTTGGAGCGTGACGCAACCATCAAATGATAATGATAGGTACTTCAGGGGTAAAAGGCGAGGAAATGAGAGCAGCTCGAGAGCGCCAATTTCTGTTCATCCGAACGAGTTAAACTGTAGCCGGAGTACTTCGGAGTACCTCGGGAGCACTCAAAGGGTGGCACCCGAACCGTTTATTGCTTTTAGAATACCTTTCAAAAATTGATAATAATTTTCACCAAATTCATGATTATTATTAATAATTTAGTACCGAGCTCATCGTCCATCGACCGTCTCCGTTTACATTAAAATAATAAAAATAAAAGCAGGAACGTAAAGTTCGTTTAACGAAGGTTTATACTTTTGACATTGAAGACGTCATAGCAGCGTCATTAATTTGTTTCAGTCAATTTCTATTTGTTAAAAAAGGTAAGCAAATTATGTCAAAAGTATAAACCCTCGTGAAACAAAGTGTATATAAGATTCTAAACCTAAATATTGTCGGCATCATATGAAAATTGCCTATGTCCAAAAAAGTTAATTTTACAGTAGGCGCAAAAAACCTTTGTGAAGAAAAACTACATGATACAAATCGTAACAAATCATCGGCAAAAATGCACAGAAGAAATTGGACTTACGCAAGTTTCACTCTGTCTTATGACGACGACGGACTTTTTTTTCATGGTTGTGTGGCTACATTTAACAATTTATCTCCCAAATATTTTGTTGGATCATAGATTATTGAGTTTCTCACAAGACTGCACTAAAATCTTAATTTTGAAAAAAATTGGACTTGGGCAATTTTCATATGATGCCGACGATATGTACAATTTGGTCGCAAATAGTAGGTACAATTATGATAGAAAAAGTACAATTAATATTTTTCTTGCGCTGCCCAATTTCCAAATTTCTAACTTTAAAGACAACTGAATGACGCCTTGTATAACGATTTCGTTGTCACCCGGTATAATGATATTTGATTCAGCTGTTTTTACGCTATTCAAGTTTAAACATGCATTTACATTACCCTAAATTAGGTCTGCTCCCGGTTTCTAATATCAATGATGAGGTTTGCTCAATGCAATTTTAAAATGAAATAGCGCAAAAACAGCTAAACCAAATATCAACATATATGGTACCTACATTTGAAATCAGAAGAAAAAAATCTATCATTCTAGCTAAAAATATACAGGGTGTTCTATTTAAAAAAATGCAAGTGCTGTCATTATGACAGTAGGCACCTGTCATTTGCCCATTTTGACATGTGCAAAACATAAAGATATAAAACCCTACAACTTTTGTATTTAACTTTTTTTTTTGTATTTTCTTTTGTTTAAGTTGTAGGAGCCGCACTAATTATGAGGAACAGACCCTGTACAAATGTTTGAAATCTCACATAAAGTTTGTTTCGCCAGGGTTTGTACTTGCCACCAGCATTTACCTTCCTTGTTTAACAAATAAAAATTGACTGAAACAAATCAATGACGTCAAAAACGTTCGTCGGTTCTTAAACCACAAGTCATTCATTTTAATTTGTCAAAAAAATTGAATGTGTCATATGAATTAATCTACGACAACCCTTTTTTTTCAAGTTTCTAGGTCAAGTATGAACCTTGGTGAAAAGGAGTATACCTACAAGTTATAATTTTTTTTCAATGCCTATCACACATAAAGGTTTTCCTGATGAGGATGAAAGTGAAGAAGAAATTAATGAAAACGAAGATTTTGGGCGATTTATCAGATTTGGATGACGGCAATAATGATGATGATAATGGAAAAGGTGACATCAGTTGTGATGGAAGTGACTCCGAAGTGATAGATGACAATGAAAACGATAATGATGATGCTGATGAAAATTATGAATATGCTGTTTTTGATAATGTTGATGATTAAAACATTTTTTTCCTGAAAATACATTTTTTTATTATTCTGCCTTATCATATTTAGGTGTCTTGAGAGCAACTTTAATTTTAGTTAACTGGTTGTCAGACGCGAGAAAATTGTTTGGACATATAAACATGTTTCGTAATTTAACAATAATTGTGCAACGTATGTAGCTCATTGCCGTTTCTGCCATATTGAGAATATGCATATTCTCATAACTACATTTCACTAAAACAAACGGCAGACGGGTTGAAAACGTTCATGATATGAACAATTTTTGTTCCAATTTTGTTAATCAATTGAGAACTTGTATCAGCCTGCAATTTCTGCCAGTCGAAATTTAAGCTTTTAGTAGTAGCTAATTTAATATAAATTACTGGCAGACGGGAAAAAATTGATCTCAACTTTGAAAAATTTTGACATTTTTATTGTTTCTGCCAATTGTTAATATACCTTGGATACATCTGCCAATACATTTCTTGGATTTTACTTTGCATGTCAAACTCATCTTCCAAATGGCAGATGGGAGAAAATTGTTTCAACATCTCAGCATTTTGATACAACTTCAATAAGTGTTAAATATTATTATAACAACCGAGATTTTCTGCCATTTACTTATTGATGTATTACATCGTAAATGTAACATAAATTTAATTTGGCAGACGGGAGGTCGTTGATCCACATGTCCGATTTTGGCGACATTTTGAAATTAGTAATATGACACTTTATACTAACCTAGGGTTTACGCCGTTTAGCTTCCTTGTACTCATTTTTGTCTAAATTACCATCACAATCTGTGGCAGACGGGATAATATTGATCCAAATCTCCACTTTTCATTACATTTTCAAATTAGCATATCATTGTATTGTCACACGCGGGGCTCTTTGAAATTCCAGCCATTCCACTTCTTATTATAAAGTATAAAGAAGAACCATCCTTAATGGCAGACGGGAGAAAATCGTTTTTAAAAAATGGTCGTTATGCACCGGTCTATTACGAGAACCGGTTAGTTTCGATCAGCTCTTTGCGTCTAAAATACCAACATGCAAATACTAGCATTCATTATGAGGACGGGTTAGTTTAGATAAGATCTTTTCATCTAAAATACCAACTTACAAAGACTGCCATTCATTAGGAGGACGGGTTAGTTTGGATTAGCCTTTTTCGTCTGAAATACCAAAATACAAAGATTAGATTAGAACTTATTATAGGGACAGGTTAGTTTGTATTAGGTATTTTCGTCTAAAATACAACCAAACAAACAAAGACTAGCACTCATTACGATACCTTTGGCAACGGTCTCTCAAGCTCCTCCTATACATAACTAAATTTAGAAAAAATGCAATTATTAGAAATTACCTTAATAATAATAAATGATGATTCAAGACCAACTATCAAACGTTGATATTAAACTATCAAACCTAGCACAGTCGTGACGAATCATTTAAAAAAAAAAATGGGGGGGCTGACAAAACACACAAAAAAAGAATTGATGACAACTCTAGAAAAAATCTCTATCTAACTATCTCTCAAGACTATCAATCACTATCAAACAATTGAGAGTAAAAAAAGTCAAAAAATTTAATTTGGGGGGGCTAAGTCTACAGAGGTGACAATATAACAGCCTCTCACAAAGGTATTAGGTCGGCATACACACACGTTATTTCGCGCGGTTTATCGTGGCGTGTTGGGATGTAGCGGTTTGCACGCGCGAAAGAACGGCGTGGCAAAAAAAGCGTCATGTTCCATACACTTGACAAAGTATTCAAATGATTTAGCACGCGATTACGCGCGGCATATCAGTTGGAAAGGAAAAACCGTATGTGTATGGGTAAAAAGTGTCATTTATCGTGTCGTTTGGAACTGCATGTTGTCATGTACTAATTTTCAACGTGATAGTTTGCTACGCAACGTTTAAGTCTCCGTACTAGCCTCAAAACCGTGACGTGGAATGGCGTGTGGACACGGTTGTGAACTGCACTTATCATGTACTCAAGTACTGACGCCACATTCCAGATGAAAGCACGTCTGAAATCCCTTCCCATTCTATCATTGCGTGTAGCCCTCCTCACTCACGCACAGGTTTTTGCAGATGACACGATAAACCGCGCGAAAGAACGTGTGTCTATGCCGGCCTATTGTTCCAAAAAAAAACACAAGCATAACCTCAAATAACGAGTATATTAATAGTAAAAATGTACAATAAATCTGGATTTTTTTTTTTGACTTTCACATAAATCTTTTCGGTCTAAACTCAATGTCAGGCGGTGGGTAATTCTCGTAATAAAAATTACAGGCTTCTGATTTGAATGGCTGTCCAACCCTGGAAAAAAAAAAAAACGACTAGCTCTGTTTCAACCGTTATGAAAACCGTTCTAGAACGGTAATTTCCAGTCGATCAATTTATTTGTGGGGTACGGAAAAAAGGTCGAATTACAAAATGTCGAATTGTCACAAAAGATCGAATAGCAAAATGTCGAAAATACAAAAGGTTGAAAATACAAAATGTCGAATAAATAAAGGTCGAAAATATTTGTATAAGGTCGAATAAAAAAAGGTTGAAAATAAAAAAGGTCGAATAACAAAAGATCGAATAACAGAAGGTCGAAGATACACTAGGTCGAATTACAAAAGCTCGAATAGCAAATAGTCGACAATACAAAAGGTCGAAAAACAAAAAGTCGCAAATACGAAAGGTCGGAAAAACAAAATGGCGAAAATACAAAAGATCGAAAATATAAAAGATCGAATGAGAAAAGGTCGAATAACAAAAGGTCGAATAAAAAAAAGTCGAAAACAAAAGGTCGAAAATACATAATATCGCGTTGGGGGTGGTAAGTTTATAGGTTAGTTTGGGTTAGATTGGGTTAGTTTGTGTTAGTTTACTTTATTTAGCAGCCCTTCTCATTTTACTAGTCTTGTATATCCAAATTCCAATTTATCTCGCTCGGACCCGTAATTTTCTCCTTCGAATTTGAAAGTCGTAGTTTTTATTTTTATTTTTTAGTAACTTAGTGAGGCAAAAAAACGTCAATATCCGCATCTGAATTGAAACAAAAACATTTTTATTAACGATATATTTTTATCGAAAATATGTTAATTTTTGAAAGTGTCCCTCATGACGTTTCTCTATAGGAATTTACGGGATCGGGAAGTCAAAAGGAGTGCATGAGTCAGAAACGAAGATTGGGTTAATTACAAAAGTGTACAGAGTTTTGGTTAGTTTGGTTTAGTTTTGGTTAGTCAGCGTTAGCTAAGGCGTTAGTATGTGGAAAAGAAAGTAGAAAGAAAAAAATATTGTATTTTCGACTTTTTATAATGTTGACAACTTGTATTTTCGACATTTCTCAATTTCTGCCTTTTAAAATTCGTACTTTTGTATTTCGATCTTTTGTATTTTCGACATTTTGTATTTCGACTTTTTGTATTTTCGACATTTTGTATTTTCGACATTTTGTATTTTCCATCTTTTGTATTTTCGACCTTTTGGATTTTCAACCTTTTGTTATTCGGCCTTTTGTTATTCGACTTTTTGTTATTCGACCTTTTGTTATTCGAACTTTTCTCATTCGATCTTTTGTATTTTGGACCTTTTGTATTTCGACCTTTTGTATTTTCAATCTTTTGTTATTCGACCTTTTCTCATTCGATCTTTTGTATTTTCGACCTTCTGTTTTCGACTTTTTGTATTTCGACCTTATGTTTTCGACCTTTTTTTTCCGGGACTCTTTATTTGTCAAATAGGATAAATGTTCAACTTATTGAAAATAGGTGCGCAACTGGAAATTACTGGTTTTGCTGAAACGGTTCTCATGTCGATTGGAACAGAGAGATGATAAAAAGTTTCATAAATTCCGAATTTTTCTATACTAACAATTGCATATCCCATCTTCGCCTGCAAGGATCATCAACCACGGTATGAGTGAGGCAAGGTTGCTTGGCCCACCTTTTTGAAGCTGTTGGTTTTCTCGATTCTGGTTCGATTGTAGTCGTGGTCGGTTGAGGTTCTTTCACAACCTGTTTCCACCAGAAAGGAGGTTGCGCTTTGCAGGGTAGCATTTTCATCGGCCGATGAGATTCTTCGTATTCCTTTTGTTCGGCTACGTCCGATAAGGCTTGTTCTCTTTCGCATTTTTCGCGGACCTTTTCTAGGCGACGTGCTTCGATGCATACTAGTTCGTACTGGTAGGATCTGTTGAAGACTTTTTCTGTGGAAAAAAGGAAAATTGGCACTTGATGTTCCTGCTACAGAAATTATCAATTGACGAAGTTGTTCGAATTCTAAATATGTGTTATGATTACACTATGATCAATAATATGAAGTGTTCTGTGCAATATTTAATAATATAATACCAACTTCAAATACGATTGATCAAAATATCAAGAAGAGAAGATGATTTCCTCAGCCTCGAACTATCAATTGCCAATCACTACTGACATAATTATATCTCCTCCTACATTTCTTCCCTATTTAGTCTAAAATGAATCGTTTAAAAAATTTAGCATTCTGCGTTCTCTTCTAAATCTAGGGGTTGCTGTTTCAGTGTTATCCTCCATGTTATTTTGCTAGACTTCTTAGTGTCATCATTTTGTATATTTTCTTCTAAAATCTTCTGCAAACCTATTATTTGTTTAAGGAGACGTTTAGGTAGAATGAATTGATGAATTTTCCCTATATTCATTTCTATTTCCTATTTGTCTTGGTACCTATATTTATTCTGGAAGTGACCATTACAAATTTAGTGGAATTCCATTGTTGATTTCTTCAACCTGATCATTATATCACCTTCTCAGCTGATTGACATGTAATTTGAGAAGACGTGGACGATCACCTGGTACATGGACATTATACATAACATTTCCAATCTTTTCAGTGATCCAAGTATAAGAATATTTTTGCATATACCAAAGCTTCTGGTTAAAATTCTCTATGATGAAAGTGATGATCATTATAGGGAATCATTTCTTCATCTATTTTGTGATTTTTTTGTATTCATCTACAATGCTTGATTTGTCTTGTGGCAGCAAATTCATTACTATCCGCATTTTTCTTTCCAATAAATTTTCTGCTGGGGATTTTCCATCTGGAGAACTGACATTTTGTGTAGACATATATGTTGTTAGATATGTTCTTCCTCTGACGGTCCTAATGGAATAATTACAATCAGGAATAGCAGCGTCACGAGATTCTTGGACCTCGTAGACACTGGAAAGTCATTAAAAGCAATTCTAAAGTAATTATATTGTGAGACCAAGTGATAGAAGACACCAAAAAAGACTATTCAGAGTTACAAGTCGAAGATCTATCAGAAAAAGAAGTTCAAAGCTGCCTAAATTGTTAATATTTCCATGGACGGAAGACGCTAGAAAAAGATTGAAATTCAAAATTACCAGGAATGGACTCTCAAAATCCCTATACATTCTACATCTCTTATGGGACTTTCAAATCTGCAAGACTTGATGGATGCTTGTAGGCTAATTTTTTTAAAAAAAAGACACTCTCACCTTTATGCTTATTAAATTCATCAAACTTCACAGTATACTTTTTGTACATGTCGTGTATAAAGAAATCATCCTTGCCAGGCTTATCGATCCAGTCGGCTCGAGCTTCTTGAGCCATCTTTTCCAAAATGAACGGACTCAGTCCTTTCGTCTCAACATTTTCGGGCCTTTCGCCTTCAGCGTATTCCACAGGCGAGCAAAAGATACCTAAAGTGGTTTGAGTGACTCTAGGTTGCGAGTCCGGAGTAAATTGAGGCGAACTTCTTTGGAGTTTTGGTACTTCTTTGAGGACATAGTCTTTGGGTGGGTACGGTGGAAGTGTAAACATTATGGATGTCAACCAGTTTTTGTTTGGTAGTTAATTGTCAAAAATGTTTTATTGTCAAAATTTCTCGTTACGTGTAAATTAACAATGGAAAAAATAGCTACGGAAAATTTATTTCTACTAGAATTTCTTGTGGACAGTGTCGCGTTGGATAAAAAATGCGAATGTGACGCTCCGCCAGGTGAAACATGCGTTTCGTTTCAATTCCTGGACAATGTGCCTCTGGACGTGTGCGAAGCCGACTTTGAACCCAAAAGGAACCTGAAAAGTGGCGACAATGAAGCCATCAAAAGCGGTAAAAGTTGCTTGTTTTCTTTGAGCCCGCAACAAGCCACCGAAGCCCTGGAACAATTCGACATTGCGGTGAGCGTTATGAAAAAAATGCAACCTGGCTGGTTACCGGAAACCGTCCAAATCGGTAGTTCGATAATAGGCATTTCCAACTTGTTCAGCGAGCTTATAAGTAGCGTGGAATTATCGGACGGTACCACCCCGACAGCCAAAACCCTAAAAGACGTTTTCGACGTGAGCGACTCCAAAGGCATCTCGATAGGCAAAATCAACGTCTACATACGAATATCTTGTTTCGGAAAGCTAATCGTGACACAATTCCAAATGAATTTGGATGACAAAAGTGTCCTGTTCAAAGACAAAGAAGGCAAAAGCTTGTACCGTTACAAAAAGGCCGGCAAAAAAATGCAAAAGAGTGGAGGAGGGGGCCGTAACAGCGATTTCCCTAAAACACCTCGTCCGGATGCTCGAATGCCATCGGCGGGAAGTAATTTCAACCAAAGCTGTCCTCAGGTGCCTTGCGATCATTCAGCGAGGCCACAAACAAGTCCCACTCCCAAACCGATTTCCGGCGGGTACGAATGTCCTTTGGCGCCTTGCGGACCTGAACAACAAATGCCTTATGGACCTGAACAACAAATGCCTTCTGGACCTCAACAACAAATGCCTTATGGACCTCAACAACAAATGTCTTATGGACCTGAACAACAAATGTCGCTTGCTGGATCACCTTACCAGCAACAGCAATTTTTAGGCTCACCACAAGCACTGGCACTACAACCATTTCCTGGATATCCGCAGCAAGGCGGGTAAGTCATTATGAGATTGGAAGTACAAGATCTTTCATGTATTAAGTATAACATTTAAAGGTTGATATCAACATAATTTTTCTCATTCTTTCTGTCAATATGTGTATTGTTTCACATATAATCCCCATGCGGTGGCTTGTAGAAACTCCTATTGGATATATTCAATTCTCTTCAACATCTTAACCTTCCCAAAATGTCATGGCCATTAACGGATCTAGGTCTAGGAAACTCTAACAAAGCTCTAACAAACAGGTCTACACCAGATCATCACCAAACCACACCACTCTTGGATCTACTCTTAGTTAATGACACACACCTTATCACCAAACATGGTACACCTATCACCAATCAAAAAATCAGACCACGAAGTATCAAAACTAACTCTGCAAGCAGGACTCGTTAACACAGATTCAAAAACAACAGAACATACAGTGAAAAACATGAATTATCATGAAGGTATAAATTATTATACAGAGTGAGGTGAGTTTCAAGTATGAAACGTCTCGATTATCTCGGAAACGGCTTGCACGATTTTTATGAATTTTGGTTTGAAAGAGTTTTGTAATATGGCGGATAATATGGTAGTATTTAGATTAGATTGTTTTGGGGGCGTTTAGGTGATGGACCTCTCTGCACTGTCCTGAATAGATCTATTGTGCTTCCCCTTTTTTCTAGTAGGTTCCCAGGTTGAGACTTTTCAAGAATACGAATCTCACGATTTTCCCGGGATTGGTTCGTTTAACGTCCGCAGCAGTCAAATGTGTCTGCTCCAGATGAATGAGTCTTCTGTGACATAATGCTTCGCATTTGCAGAGTATATGTTCGGCAGATTCGGATGCTTCTTTGCAGAAACGGCAAAGGTCTGATTCAGCTTTACCCTTCTTTTTCAGGTGGCAGCCAAGAGGGTAGTGGCCGGTGAGGAGACCCGTTATGAGCCTCAAGTTTGGTTTGCTGAAATCGAGTAGTTCCTTTGCCTTTGTTGACTTTGGGCGAAATGAATTGCTTCGCCTGTCTAAGTCTTGGGGTATTGTTCCAATGGGAGGCCTGTTGTGCATCTATTCATTTTTTGAATTCGGTCCTTACATGGCTTTTTGTCAGTCCAAAGAAGGGTTCTGGACCGAGGAATGGTGACGCGGCGCCTTCTCTTGCAAGCCAGTCCACCGGCGAATACAAGGAGGGGGGGGTAATGGGGGTAATTACCCCCCCTCCCCCAAGATCGTTGCAATAGGGCATGTCCATGTGACGTCACAAATGAGTTTGACAATCGCCCTGAGGTAAAACAAATCATTTATTTACATTCGTGTAGATTAGGCCGGTTATGTTTTATGCGGTTTTCACAGCTTTTTTACAAGTTTTTGTGTTATTTTGTTTTAAAAAAGTTGAAGTAAAGTGTTTATGTTCCAGTCTATGTGGTCTCATGTGGTCTTTTATCCAGAAGTTTGCTAGATTTTTTTATAATGGATTAAATTCAGGTTTTTTCCAACAAATATCAAAACCAAGTGTCACAAGAACAAATATATAAGTATATTTACTCTAGATTCAATCTATTTTTTTGTCAGATCTTCTCTTTTAACAACTTTCATCAATTTTTCTCTTCTTTCTTGAGCTAACAAATCAAATGTCCCAGTGTTATTTAAAATTGATGGAAACCTATGGAAGGATATTGTATCCCTTGCGCTATACTGCCTCAATTGACGTTTTCAATTAAAAGAGATGGACAATAAGCACAGCATATACAAAAACAATCAGCAGGCTAACTCTCACGCGCATCTTTTCTGCGCACGCCGCCATTAGGGGATACCATTTTGTCATAACGCTGTCATTAAACGGCAGGAGCGCCGAAATTTTATTTTATTTGTTTATTTCTGACGGAGGTCATAGGCGTGCGGTGTAGAGCGGAATTTTTAGCTATGATTTTCAAAACGATTTTGATATATTCGTGTTGTCATTTATGGTGTTATCTGTTATCATTCTTGTATATTCAATAATAATAATAAATTAGTAATTATAAACATTATTATATGTAAGTAATATTAAATTAGTTTATTTATTGCCACTACGACTCTGTCACTGGAAAGAAAAAACCTAAATTATCGTTAATCAGGCCCTGTTTCCTATCCCAAAATGGCCGCTAGTGACATTTTGACGATGAATTCCTTTATTACACGGGCTGTCACTCAAGTTAGCCTGCTGATTGTTTTTGTATACTTAATATGCTGTGCAATAAGTATGAAAACATTCATTTTCCCGCCAACATTTGCTTGCTTGTCAATGTCAATGTGTATTGGGTGGTTAGCAATCCCCTAGTTTTTATTCGAATTGGTGACTTCACCGATGAGTTAGCTATCTTTGTTAAGTGAATGGAAAATGACAATGACCGACATAGAATGATGGATCCATCGGTAAAATTTGATATGAATAAAAACGCAGGGTTTGAAATTGGAAAGAAAATGTGGGAAAAGTCACTGCTTCATTTGGAGAACTTCGCTTTGGAGATGGTGGTGGATTATTTTGGAAGCAAACAGCTTCTGCCAACTAAACTTGGACGTGGATTACTTTGTATAAGTTACTTGATGGGCCGTGGATTTTCCTTTCTTTTGCGGGTATCCTTTCTGATTTTGTGTATCCAAATTTTAACAAATGTAGGATTTGATGGAAACTTATGGAAAGACACGTCCGCCAGTGAATAGGAATTATTTTTATGAATAGGCACACTACACACAATCACCATTGTTAGGAAAAAACCTTGAAAACACCGAGGAAATAATAGTTTCTTTCAAAAGTATTGTCTACAAACCATTGTCAACGGCTGTCAACCATTGTTTTCATACTTTTTTGACGTCTGACAGTTTGATGCCAGAGAGAGAGGTTTGAATTGAAAAGGTCAATTACCAACTAAACAAACTCTAGGCATGTCCAAGAAACTTCTGGAGCACAAAAAAGGTATTTATTTAAAAAAATCGAACTAAAAACTTAAAAAACACTGTAAATTATATCTTTGTTTTACCCAGTTTTACCTCAAGGCGACTGTCAATAGTGTCAAACTGTCAGATCGTGTACTTGCCATATGGACGAAAAATATGTACCCTACACCTTACAAATAAATCTATTTTTTATATTTATATTTTTCAGCAACTTGCCCTAACTTGTTTTCTAGTTTGCACAGTGTCCGCACTGCCCGTATGCCATCTATAGCGAATTTTATTTAAAGGGATATAGTGCACATTGAGTGTATTAGTGTCTTTCTCTACTAGCTTGCATAAGAAAGAGATAAAAATACATTTATAGCATTAATTCTACCAATAGAATTCGCTATAATTAAAAAGTTTTAGGGGAATCTCATAGCGAATCCCATTGGTGAAATCAGTGCAAAAAAATGCATTTTTATCTCTCTCTCTTTTCTTAAACAAGCTGGTAGAAAAAGACACGAATACACTCAGTGCGCATACTAACCCTTCCAATGGAATTACAATACGGTATTTCACATGGTAATTTATAGTTCTCGGATACGAAATATATAAATCTTCTAATCCCTTATTCTGTTTACATTTTGACAGCTGAATTGAATGATCTAACCCAACTTTTTTTACTTTTTTCCTAACTTTCATTTATCTTGAAGATTCCTGAACTTGAATAATTTTCCCTTGGTGTTTTTTATGGAGGAATTATCAGAAGTTGCTGCCATAAATGGAGCGTAAACTAGTTTTGACATAGCATAGCGTTACGGTAAGGCATACGCTAAGTTCCGTTAAATAGCGTGATCCGCTAACGCTAATACCGTAAGAACTGTCATACTTGTCAAATAGCATTACGTTATTTGAAATTTGGACGCCATGAGAACTTTCTAAATATATTTACAAGTCCGGAAAATGAATTTTTCCGCACGAGTCTGTCGTTTACCGAAAGACGCGTAGCGGAATTCGGTGAAGCAGCCGAGTGCGGAAAACAGATTTTTCGCGTGTGTTAGGTAGGTACAATAGTTTTTCTACAGACGTGCGGAAATAAGTACATATATCTACATTATAATTTGTAGTAATTTATTGATTTTTTTTTTTGACAGCCGTGCGGAAAAGATTTTTCCGCACCGATATCCGTGCGGAAAAAAATTCGCCGCACCGTGCGAGAAAATCGATTTTCCGCACTGTTTAATAGTGCGGAAAATGCAATTTTCCTCACTCTCATAGAAAGAAAAGGATTTGAAGGCTCAAAATAAAGGTTGTTGGGCGTGGCACCCGGAAAAAAATTTTTTACCTCCGGCGGCCTGGCTTGGGTTTGGGTTGATTACCCCTCCCAGACGCATCGGCTGGATACGCAGGTGGCCGGTCCGCTATCTCATTTCCTTCTATGTTTTGGTGACCTGGTACCCATGCTAGAGTGACTCTATTGCAGTTCGCCAGTTGCTTTAGAAGTTGCTGACAGTCCCAGACTAGTCTGGATTTAGTGACAAAGCTGTTAAAAGCCTTAAGTGCTGCCTGACTGTCAGAATTGATGAAGATTCTTGCACCTCGCAGGTCTATTTCAAGACACTTTCTAGCGCAGAGTTCTATTGCGTACGTTTCCGCTTGGAATATGGTGGGATTTTTTCCTAAGGCTACCGATAGCCTGCAATTTGGGCCATATACTCCCACTCCGACCCATTCTTCTGTTTTCGATCCATCTGTGTACCAGATGGATGAACCGTTTGGGAATTTATGTACGATCTTGTCACTTTTGCGGCCTTCTACGGTCACACTAAAAAGGTGATTGAATTCGTATCTGGGTGGCATGATGTCCACCGGTTTTGTTGGTGTACCATGGCATTCTTTGATGATGCTCATATGTCCAACAAGGTCCCCTTCCTTTGGGTTTAGAGACCGTATAACCCTTGAGGCCCCCATGTAGGCCTCTCTCCTCACTGCAATGTGCAGAAGGATGATGTCTAGCATGACTTCTATAGCAGCGGTTGGACAGGTGTTCATGGCACCTGTTATTCCAAGACATGCATACCTTTGTACAACTGCCAATTGATTTTGCCCTCTCTGCTGCTTCACTTTTGGCCACCCACACCAATGCAGCATATGTGACCAGAGGTCTTATAATCATCGTATATAGCCAATAGATCATTTTTGGCTTTAGGCCCCAATGGTAGTATTTACATGGTTGTCAGATTTTTCGGTAAACATCAGAAACTTTGTTTTTTCGAATGGGATCACCTTGTTTATTATGACATTCATGGAGTCTGCGGAAAATTCTAGATATTTCATGTACAATGTCATACACCTATCTTCAACTGTTTCGGAAATATTGACAGACTTTTTGGTAACTTTGACAGGCTGTAAAAACTAAACGGCTAATTCTACATCGAAACCGATTTCACATTCTCGTCTGTAGCTTTTCATAAACTATCATTTGACACCAATTATGAATTTACCCGGAGATTAAATTTAACCGGAGTTTTTAATCATGGATTATTCAAAGTTGGTGTCGAATGATAGCTCATAAAAAGCTACAGACGAGAATGTAAAATCAGTTTTGCTGTAAAATTAACCGTTTAGGTTAGTTGCGAAAAAGACTATTTTCAACTGTCAATATTTCCGAAACAGTTGAAGATAGGTATATGATATTGTATGAAACATGCCTAGAATTTTTCCGCAAAACCAAGAAATGTCAGTGATCCAGGGTAATCCATTTGAAAAAACAGAGTCTCTGGTATTTCCCGAAAAACGAAAGATCTGACAACCATGTAAATCCTACCATTTAATCAGCCATATTACAATACTCTTCCAAACCAAAATTCATAAAAATCTTGCAAGCCGTTTTCGAGATAATTGAGATGTTCCATACTTAAAACTCACTCTGTATCAGTCTTGCCAGACGTACGATAATTATCGTATTTGTACGATAAATACAAGAGGGTACGATGTACGATCGATAATGGATAAATGTACGATAATTTCTGAATGTTGATACATTTTGAAAAAAATACACTGAAGTCGCTGTCCTCCATTAAAATTTGAAATACCTACCAGCTCTTTTTTCCAGTGCCTGAATTATTACAAGGGTTAGGGGATAACAGAAATGAGTAGTTTTTTTCTTTTATATTTTTTCTAAATGTTTTTTTAATAAAATTATTTTGCAAATACAACCTAACCCCTTCAATTCAAGGGGGCCACCAGCCTCCGATGAAGTCACAATGGTAAAATCAGTTTTGTACGATAAAATCATGCAAAAAAACGATAATTTCTACAGCATTGTACCATAATTTGACTTTGGTCATCTGGCAACACTGCTCTGTATATCGCAAATCAACTGGGAAGAAGTCATCTCTGACGACAATAAAAATCATGTATGGGCCAGCTTTCACTCAGAACTAAAGACAGTATTAGATACAGCAACACCGAATACAAAACCGAAAGAGTGAAATAACCTGTAACTCATGGATAAACTCTGTCTAACCAAAGTTGAACGTTGAAGGTCACTTACTCATCCTTGTAACCATAGGATTCACACGTTCGGACCTATTTTGGTTTGACAAACACAGTGCGCGTGCAATAAAGACAGCAGCCAAAAGCAACGTCTGTGATATATTCGAGTAAGTGACCTTCAACGTTCAACTTTGGTTAGACATAGTTTAACTAACAACCACATCCGTGACTGTAGGCGAAAAAGGGCCCTATGAAAAAGGTACTAACGTACCACTGTTTACAGCACCTTCTGCCCCCGGGCCCAGGGGCTCCGGGGCCCCATCCGAGGTTCCATGCAAAAGTAGTTTTACAGTCGAATAACATATTCGTACGATTCTCAAAATAATGTCTTACGAAACCTAAGTGTAACCAAGAAAATATGAAAATCATTGAAACTTTTGCTGACTTACCGATCTATTTACCAAGGATAATACACACTACTACTATAGGATAGCCTATCCTCCTAAGGCCTGTGTGGAACAAATCTGAAGCCTCTCACCACGCCAAATCACCAGTTGTGATGTAGGCAGCATGTCGTTTTTCGCTTTGACGTAAATAGGCTGTTTGCACTACAGGTTATGATTCCGTGAGCTTTTGCTTTATGCATACCTACTTGGTTTTCCTACATTAAATACCATTCTAGAACCAAGGGCGGATGGGTCAGCAGGGATTTTGGGAAGTTGGAAAGCATACAGGGTGTTCAACGAACGAACATCGAAACAGAGGCGTTTTAGGGTAATTCAAGGACGATTTAAAAAAAAAAACCCTTGGAAACGTCATTTTTGTATTCAAGGGGAAACCTTTTGACCCTATCGGTATTTCGCTTAGGTGCACCCCCTGCATGGGGTGACTCCCATCTAGATAGGGAAGATGGGGCAAGTGGTACCTTGTTTTAAAGGTATTTTGATTCTCGTCACAACTGCGTATTTTTTTTGAGAATCGAATGATTAGTTCCCAAGATAATCACTGTCAAAGTTGTCATGGGAAAAATAAGAAACAATCTTCTGGTCCTGTTATTCTCGAATTAACACTTTCCTGACTTTCCTCCCAGACACGTCATTTTCCATTTTTTGTTTTTGTGTGCTTCTGAAAAAATAAAAACTGACCGTATCCGCCCACCCCCCCGCCACGAAATCTCCTGATCAAACCACCCAAAACATTCTTAAGAAGGGTTGCCAGTACTTGACGGAATATCCTCATTAATTCTTAAAAAGAGTGCTCGAACCTTGCTGTTACCCTGTCTGCAAAATAATGAATATGTTACTGGAAAGTTGCATTAGTCTCTCCGATATACAAAAACGGTGATAAACTAGATGCTGGAAACTACAGGCCAATGGTCTTGCTACCCATTGTAAGCAGAACCATGGAAGCAGAATTCTCAGAAAATTTGAGAGGTTTTTTTGATGAGAAACACTTGATTCCAACTCAACAACAGTTAAGACACTTCTATGCCTTGAACACAGACTAGACACTTCGGGGTCAGGGGATCACAGTCTCAAACTTAAAAAAGAAAACTACTCCACAGTGTGTAGGGAGAACTTTCTACCACAGTGTTTACCCTTTGGAATCAACTTCCCAGCTGAAACAATTAGTGCTACTTCAGTGTCAGTATTCAAGACAAAACTTGATAGTCATAGTTCTCCAAAACAAACACTCAAAAACTATAACAGTTCTAAAACAATTGATATGAGTAAAAATGGGCTTATAGGTCTCACCTCAGCCTATATCGACTAGTGATAGTAATAGTAAATTCTAGATTTCAGCATTTGTTGTTTTTTTGGGTCTTCTGTGGCAGATCCAGAATTTAAGGAACTTTGGGCTTTATCTGGCATTTCTGATCGGTCTATGGATTCAGCCTATTTGCCATGATTTTGGGGTCTTTGGTTTAAAATTTGAGTAGCTTTAGACTATGATACGATCTTCTGGAATTTTGGGATTCCAGCATTTGTTGAAGTGGTAATTTTGAATCTTAGTGGTATCTTCTATATGGAGATATCTGGAATAAAAGTAGCTTTGGCCTTTATCCGTCTTTTGTCATTTCTATGTATCAGCATTTGCCATGAATGGTATATGATGTTTGGCCCTGGCATCAGGTCTTTTGGACTTCAGTCTGCTTGTAATTCTGGATTTTCACGTTTCACACGAATAGTTGCGTGTTCAACATTCTCATCGTCAACTTCCTGGATTAGATTCTTCTGAAGCTTTTGATTGCCTCAAAATAAGCAGCCATGTTTTCAATACATTGATTCGATACTCAGGGCTTTATGAAGCTGATCTTTTTCTTATTTGATTCCTTGGGAGTAGATAATGAGTTATTATTCACCACAAATCAGTTTTGTCCATTTTACTGATCAATTTCCAATTATTTTTCCAGCCTAGCCACTCAAACAATGCTAACGCCGTGCAACGAATGCGGTTTCCTGCCGAATGCCGCCTGCTTGCCTCCGATGGGTGCGATGGTAAACTACAGCGATCCCGTCGGAACGACGGGACCTCCCGGGATTCCCGAAGGAAACTATCAGGAAATCGGAGCGTCGATGGGCGGCAACTCATTGACCATTAGGGTGCACAAAGATCAGGGTAAAGCTGAACAGTTTGATCCTAATACGGGAGAGTTGTGTATTTGTGGACCAGAAGGAACCGAAGGAGGAGCTGGTAAAAATCAGGTATAAAAATGATCAACCTTTTTTTTACCATATGAATGAGCTCTTTCACTTAAATTTAAAAAAATCTTAAATGGGATAGATACTATTTTAGGAACGCGCCAAACGATGACGTATAAGAGATATGAGCATCTTCAACCAATCAAATTGAAGAAGACTCCATCATCGACAAAGCACGAACAGCTGTTCCGGTGGCCGCTGACTTAAAGCTTTGATTGCGTTGTTGCCAGTTTTGACTAAATGTAGTGCGGCGTGAAAAAAAGAACTAAAATTGATGAATTTAAATTATGTATGATATCAATTCTTTCATGAACTCTGAAATCCCTAAGTAATCAATTCAGCTATTTTTCTTGATATTTTGCCAATATTTTGCAAATTTTCAGTGCTCACAATGAGCGGCCACACTGTCAAAATTCAAGTAATGACATACCTACTGCCGATAAATTCCGTGTTTTTATTTAGAAAGTTTTCTTTTTTGTTTATTTTCCCAACAAAGACTGTATAAGGTTGCAGAAAAATCCCATTTTTAGTTGCCAATTTCAAAAATTAGTGAAAAAGCCTATTGTATGCACCAGCAAATTTAATTAACAGGGTGTGCAAGCACAAAGACCTTTAACCTCTTACCTGCACATAGTACCAATTTGAAAATATAAACCAGTTTCGTATAGAATTTTTAAATTGATCAATAAAAATTGATTATTCTCAATTGACTGGCTTACTACGCTTTACTATGCACGAGTCATTAATCTGCATCTTTTTTTTTTTTAATTGATAATGGCGACAGTAATCTATCTAATGTACTTACAGGGTGAATGTCTCTACTGAAAACGACTAGATGAAAATATTTTGATATGGCCTTTGATTGTGTTTTCGATGTATTCTTTTCATTAATCTGTGTCCAACTCTTCTTCACATATTTCAAGCTTGGGATGAAGGTCTATTTATGTTAGACACCGACGTTTCGCAAAGTAAAATAGGGGCGCCGCTGTTCTTTCCCAAATTTAAAACGTCGAAGAAGTAGTAATTGGATACAGTAAATCCATTGGAAAGGCAGAGAAGAATTATTGTGTCACCCGAAAGGAGCTTCTGGCAGTAGTAAAGATCTATTGAACATTAGCTCAGCTTTCTCATTCTCACCATTCTGCATTGAAATGGTTGCTCAATTTTAAAAATCCGGAGTGTCAAATAGCGCGTTGGTTAGAGAAATTACAAAGTTATGACTTCCAAATCAAATATCGCAAAGGAAGGAGTCATGCCAACGCCGACAGCCTATCACGAAGACCATGTATTGACAGCTCATGCAAATTCTGCCAAAGGCAAGAGGAAAAGGAAGCAACCAAAAATTCTGGAGTCGTTCAACAAATAAGGCTTAAGAATTCCGACAACGACGCTAATACTGATGAGGACATTACGAGAGAAGACTTCGAAGAACAACAAAATATGGATAAGGAATTGAAAATGGTGCGTGGCTGGCTACAAGACGGACAACGACCTGGATGGCAAGAAATTTTCAGTTTGAGTCAAACGGTGAAGGGATACTGGCTGCAATGGGACTCATTGTGCCTGCGACTCCTGCGAGATGACTTGATCACTCGTAAATGGGAGAGTCCAGATGAAAAAAAATCTAGTATATCAGACCGGTGTGCCACGGACCATGATGGACAGAGTGCGTCAAGAACTGCACAGTAGTAGGAGTGGTGGACAATTTGGAATCAATAGGATCTTGGCTCAAGTAAGAGATAGGTACTATTGGATCAACTGTCGTAGGGATGTTGAAGAGTGGTGCAAGAGATGCGATCTCTGTGCTTCTAAGAGAGGACCCAAGACGCGATCCCGTGGAGAAATGGAAGCAGTACTTGTCGGGTTCCCCTTGGGAGAGAATTGCCGTGGATATTGCAGGTCCTTTTCCTACGACGAAGTCAGGGAATAAGTACCTCATGGTTGCTATGGCCAGAAGTAAGCTACGTCTGACCAGTGACAGAATGAAGATGAGACTCGACCAGCGGCTGTCACTGAACACCTTACACTGAACACCTTGACTTATTCCGAAACTGCAATGACCATGGGAAGGACCATACAAGGTCATTAGGAAAATTAACGACTTAGTATACAGGATACAACTTACATCCAAAAGAGCGCATTGGGATAAGCTGTTCGGGGCGAACAGCTTTGAGGAAGGGGGCAGTGTTATAAACCCGCCACTTGTACTTTTTGATTGCCCCCTGTAACTACAGTTAAAGAAGCCAGAAAATTAGAATATTTTCAAGATGAACTGAATCACGAAAATTCGAGCGTGTTAGAGAAGGACGCACATAACTATAAAAGCCCCGGTGCGCACCGCGTAAGGATCAGTTCTGATCGTACAAGTGCAGTGAACTATAAAGTCAGGAACTAAATAACCACGTTCGAGAATAATCGTGCCGTATAAGCGTTATTTGGAGTAGTTCAGAGTACTATAAAGTAGTGTGAAATTTCGTGTACTTTTTATGTTATTGTGTTTAATAAAATCCGTTGAAGTTCGAAAAAGTAGTCTCACTTATCTGTGAACCCGTATAAGTAACATAGTAACAATATGTAAATTGTATTCCTACTTCAAAAACGGGCAATCCGTATTTTAAAAGGTACCTATAAAGAGTCAACGTAGGTACCATCGTCACCGAAAGTATCTGGGACAAACATAATTCATATTGATCTCCTAAACTATTCCAAGTTAACCTAGATAAACGTGAAATTTGAAATTATTCATAATTTGACAAATATTTGACACCAAAAATCATATACTTAATAGTAATATAGAGCTAATATAATGCTGTCCCAGTTACCTACTTTTGGTGACGATGGTACATCTTGCAGATCACTGTTTAAGGACTTGAAAAATTGACAGTGCTTGATCTCCTACAAGAAGAATCCATAAAGCCAGGCAAGAATTGACAGTCAGGAGTAATTTGCATTTGTACAGGGTAGTCATTTTATCTTGATAACATTTGAAGCTGTCATAATTTCTTTATTTTTGAAGTTATTTAAATAAATAAAAAAACTTACTGTAGGGTTGTTTTCCAAGTTTTAGATAGGGTGGACAAAAAACAAAAGACTAGTATATTTTGACAGTTATGCAATATATACAATACAATACAGTTGAATACAATTTACTTCATATTTACATGCAGAAATTTTTTATTTATTCTAATGGGAAATTCTGTCTACCTACCTACCTTTGCAGGTAATCTGTGCAGGTAATCAATATTTTTAGCTAGAATAAATAAAACATTTCTGCATGTAAATATAGAGGGAATTGTATTGTATTGTATATATTGCAATCAGAATGAAACAAATTAAAAATTTACCGGGTGTTCCATTTAAAAAAATTCTATTTGTGTCCATAACTGTCAAAATATATTAGTTTTTTGTTTTTTGTCCACCCTATCTAAAACTTGGAAAACAACCCTACAGTATATTTTTTTATTTATTTAAATAACTTCAAAAATAAAGAAATTATGACAGTTTCAAATGTTATCAAGATAAAATGACTACCCTGTACAATACCTACTCGATAGACTGAAAATTTGGTCACTTTATTCTCGATTATCTCGCCTATAGCACATACAAAACTCAATGATGCACATGGGGTAATTGGGATATCCAGCTTTATAACAAATTTGAAGCCAATGTCATGAGTTATTTGGAGAGCGAGGCTCACTACAACAAAAGTAACTTGAAAAAAATCATAATTTCATGTAGAGCGGGATCGATGTAAACAGTGCCGTAACTAGGGCGTGGAGAAGGTGGCAAGCTTCAGAAGGGCGCAATCTCCCACTAACCGTTAAGCGTAAAGCGCCTTTTGCGCAACGGGCGCAAGCTTCAGAAGGGCGCAATCTCCCACTAACCGTTAAGCGTAAAGCGCCTTTTGCGCAACACACCAGAAGTTTAAAGAGCGCTTTCCGGATTTTATACCTGGTACAGCGAAATAGATATTGATTTATTGATATGGTACTAAAACTACCCAGAAAATAGAAACGGATATGACGAGGCCCATCTTTTCCAAAACACATTTGGACATTGAACTCTTGCAAGTAATTTAGGAAATTATAGGTCTCTGTTCTCACAGGAGTCTCTGACAGTTTGCAACCGTTCAGAAACAATCACTCAGCTAATTTAGCGATTTATGTTGTACCGACGGCATTGAAAACATGTATGGGCGATGCTATGGGGCGATGCTTAATGTCAGTTTGCAAACTGTCAGAGGCTTTTGTGCTACAATAATGGTGAGAACACGGATTGAAGAAATATTTGTTTGTCTTATGGCCATTTTTCCAGCACTCGTAAAGGATAGTTTAAGGATACCTTAGTAATAAGGAAGCCTTAGCGGTAGCTTTTCGTTTGCTTTGCTCGTTAGTTGCCCCTTAAGGACTCCTCAACTTAAGTGGCCAAATTTGGCGTCTCAAGTTTATAAAGTAGAGATTTCTAACCTCAAAATTTTATTTGTCATTGTCCTTTTTGGGTTTGGCATGTTTGTTTGAATCTTTAGTCAAATTGGATTATTGTCTCGAAATAATGGAATTTTTGAAAGATAATTTAGATGTTTTCGATATTATCGAAAACGGATTTCCACGAAGAACTTATGAAAGAGCTTTACCTGGAAGGAATGGACAATTTACCTTTTTTCAACAGGTTTCGGTGGAGGAAAAAGACCATACAAAGCATTAATCCTCAGATTTCGGATCAATTATGGAAATGGATGGAAGTATAGATGTTAATTTACAACGATTTAACATGTAGGTTCACATACAACATACATTCAGGACTATGATGTATCATTTTCTGTTATTTCAACTGCAACGTTAAGTTATCTGTCACTGTTCAATCTACACGTAAAAATAGAGACAGGTATATATTTTGAGCTATAACACAACTGTTAAAATAATAGGAGAGGATACATCATAAGCCTGATTAATTAAGTTTAGAAGTTATAGTTTTTGCCAAACTGTCATCCTGATGTACTTTGTATTCAAAAACACTACGAAGAAACCAGGGCATCCAAGGACATACTTTTATCATTGATTCACTTTTGAAGGAACAATACAGTCGTCCCTTGAACCAGCTACTCACAACTTTACGATTTTATGCAACAGGGGAACATCAAGTGCTGCAGATTTCAGATTTCATAGGAATGGATACCAGCACAGTATCTAGTGAACAGGTAGTGAAGAGGAAATCTGAAGCATCAGCTTGCTTCAGCCTGTAGAGCTAACAAATATCCACATTAACTAAAAATAAAAACATAAATAATAATTATGTTTCGTGTTGTGTTTACGCCGGGCCCGGAATGCCAAAATTGAAATAAATAATGTTACAGATTATTTTCGACGGTCTTTTGACAAAAATTCAACGTTGCCAGACGGTACTCCGTTCTTTATTAAGAGTTGATCCTGAGAGCCGCTGAGCAACGCAACAAGTCTTAAAGGCTACTTAAAATATAAGTGTACCTTAACTATTCCTTACTTGAGGCAATTGCTGGGAAAACGGCCATTAATACTGTTTTTCTCAGTGGTCGTGCTATCGAGGACGTGGGTATTCACACCAAAGTAGCATGTGACGTGCGACTTGCTACCAAGGGCCCGATTCTCGTCTGAGAATAATAAAGACGGACTCACATTCCTTCCGAGTATCAGATTAAAATAGGCGGACTTCATCTATGTATGTTATGTTATTAAGGGGCGGTTTATCAATAGAGGGTTACACCATGAGTTACGAATAACCTTGGGTCAAAGTTGTGAAAAGTGTTTATATATCCAGGGTCAACTGCTAACTCGGAATTTATTCCAGGAAAAAGTTAACCCGCGCTCTCACGACAAGTTAGCGTATTTGACCCTGGGTTAACCTTAAAATTTTCTCTTATTTTATATCTGAATAGTGGTGGTTTTGGCTTGAATTTTGATATTGTGAAGAGATGGAGGACCTAGATTTCCTAGAATGTTCTAGAATTTCTAGAACATGCATGAGCAGCGCCTCTACCACGTAAGGTTGCGGTTAAATCCCTTTGTCGTTTTTGACGTCGACTTCTTCGGATTTTCTCGCTTGCGAAAAGACACGATTGTTCTAGAACAAATCGAGCATAGACTTGAATTCCCAATAGACAGGTACGTTTGTTGGGAATTCGAGTATATTGTATATTTTTGCACAGAATTCATGAAACCATGAAACTTCCCGTTGAATCTTGCTATGGAAATGGAAAAAAAAGGAAAAAAATAACCTAAAAAAGTGAGGTATGAACAGAAAATGTCAAAAACTCGCTAAAAGTGAGCTGGCAACGTTGCTTAACCTTCGAAGAAACCTGGGTTAAACACCTTTCGACTTAACTAGGTAGTTAACCCAGAGTTAGAGTTGACCCAGGAACAGCAAACTGCGAGTTATCCCTAGATTGATAAACCGGCCCTGAGTGATTCTTCAAATTTTGAGCTAGATTTTAATATTTTAGTAATGTCAAATGAAACAGGAATATATCAGTTATCTACTTTTTTACATTGGGGCGCAAATTAATAACCTGCCACAGGCGCAAACGGGTCTAGTTAGGGATCTGGATCAATGTAAACTCGTTTTGCCGATTCCTATTATTATTCTACTGTTCGGCGAGTGTCTATTCCTATTCGCTTCGCAAAATGAATCATTATGGTATCACGGAAAGGAGACTCATACCTGACAGAAAGGAATCAGTTCATAAGAACATTAAATTGTGAGGACTCTGGAACGTTGCGACTTAAGCATGACGTCCCACAAGAATCTGTTCTCTTTTTGCTATACGTAAACGTCTCGGCCAAATTATCCATATCAGGAATATTTTTAATCTTCACAGATGCTACCTCAATACTTTTGGAAACTTACTTAATAATCAAATATTAGTCCTGAAAACGTCTTTAGGCAGACGTCTAAAAGACGTTGGGCTCAAGGCAAATTGACAAATATTGTTAAACAAGATGAGACATACAATAATTTTTCTATTTCAGGCTCTCATATTTCTATACAGGGTGTTTCCTAAGTACAGCTCGTAACTTTAGGATGTGATTCATTACGATATTTGAAAAAAAAAGTTCCCATAAACATGTGTAAGGAAATGCGCAATTTGTGATGATATTAATTATCCCATTGACGTGCAAGAAAATGGATTTTATTTATTTTCTCTCGAAACCCAAGTTATGGGTACCTATGTATCTGTATTACATCCTGGAGTTACTTACACCCTGTGTAGATATTTTTGAATTTTCTGTATTTAAAGAAGTTTACAAGAAAACAAAACTTCAAGAGTCTGGAATAGACAAAAATTGAAATGGAGAAAATGGGAAATGATGAAACTTGAATTTTTGCAGGTGCTCGCAATGATTCTTGTTGTTTCTTCCAGCAGAAATCCTTTCCAATTTTCTGAACTACAACTTCTCACTAAATCTGAGTTCTTATTACTGTGGTAGGTAATTGGATTTGGAGTCAATATGCTTCCAAATCATCTATGGATCATTTGATAATTGAGGCAACCCTCTATTCAGCTACCTAGTCGATTTCTTTGCAGCTGAAAGCCATAAAGTGCCCCTTTTCATTTAACATTTGCTTGCGCCTGCATTCGATTTTTTCATGACAAAAAAAGATGTTCGTTGCTTTATTAGTAAACAGGTAAACATAATCTTGACTAATTTTTCCAGGCATTCTCCTTAAGACCAGCAGGAGCTCCGGATACTCCATTCTCCTTCAAAATCGGCGACCATCAACAACCGGGACCGATGATGAGAAATACCGGCGGGGGTGTGGTGGTCAACCCGCCAGTTTATACCGCCCCCGACGGCACCCAAATAACCGAATTCTCCGATCCGAACAAGGAAACCTTCATTCTGAGAATTGGCAAGAAGAGCGAGGGCGTCGACAAGAAGAACAATTTGGAGTTGGAATTGCAAACGCCCAAAGGGCCGCCGCTGAAACCCATACCGAAAAAGGAAACTGTAAGTTTATTATTGTCTGCCCTATTGAAATGATAATTAGCTTTTATTGATTAGTTTATGGGCTATTTTTAGACCTGTTATAAAAAAAATTGCGTTGTCTGTAGGGGGCCAGATAGGTTATCTTTGTGTTATTATGGGTCTAGTGTCTAGTGGGGGTCAAACATTTTTCTAAAGAAGTAGGTAGACTAAGCTGAAGATTATGTCTATATTTATAACCATATTTGAGCTTTTTAGACTTGGATTTTATCTTTAAAAGTTTAAGGTATAGCTGCCTGAAATCATTGTTACATTTTCATTTCATTATTTCAAATGGGAATTTATGGTGGGTACTTGTTTAGGTAAATTTTCTACGAAATATCTGAAGCAAGTTTTTTGGCTGATGGACCCAAGATCCCAATGTTTCGACACCAAAGAGGTTGAAGACGAATCTCGTCAATATTGACAGAATTAGGAAACTCGACTGTTGTCATTGCGAATGGAAATGAAGCACTATCTGGTTCAGGTTGTATTGCACTTAGCTTCTGCAATGTAGAAGTATAGTATTAGGTGTAATAGTTTTGGAAAGAGAGAACCTCTGTATAGCACCTGTAATGTCAACGTCGCCTAGTTTCAATGTATAGTACATGCGGCGACTGAACAGCCAATTGTCTGACATAATATGAGCACCATTGCCAGAAAACCCAGAAGATAAACTGGATAGCCCCTTTTTCACTAAAACTGACAATGATTCCTTTCTTACTTTATTAATGTGCGGCAAACTAATCACGAGGAAGAGAAAAAAAATTATACCAAGACTCGTCATTATTGATTTTGACACAATTATCCAGAATAACTGCCAATGCTTCGGCTACTTGAAGACTCTGACTCTTTACGTCTCATAATTCGTATATTACCATGAGATGATATAGAATGTGACCTAATTTGGAAAGCTTCTGTATTAGAACAAGTTGGTTGTGACTGAGTGGGGCCAGATCTTAAAAAAGCTGTCGTTTTTGTGATACATTTCTTACTATTTCGATGTAGCGTTGCAGGAAATGGACCGGCTACAACTATTGTAATTAGTTCGAAAGGCATTTCCACGTTGTACCGCTTCATTTATCCCTAAGATCGTGTCGCACATTGTTAGCACTATGTTTTAAAATATTGGTAATAGTTCATTCAATAGAATCTGCCACGGTTTTTATTGGTCGTGTTGACTCCCAAGTTAACTCCGAATGTCCCATTGTGAACTTCTTCTAAAACTCGATATCTTTATTTAGGCACAACCAATTGCGTTTTGACGAATTTACTATCACCTGCGCTCTCCCAGGTTCGTTACAGTGAACTATTTTTGACTAGCGGGAATCCCATTGGACCCACAGCACTTTGAAAGGTAATAGCTTCTAAGTGGTATTTCCTGCCAGGTTGTACTGGAATTTCCGAATTCTTTAAGATTCGATGTCTCTATCTTGTCACTTTTAAGCTGTTCAGAATTCCATTTTTGATCCATTTCCAATTGGAGACTTCTAATAGGAACTCCTTCACGCTGATCTACTGAAGCAGTGCTTGCATTGAGCTGGGCATGGTCGCCTGGATAAGACATCTACCTGGATAAGACAATATGCAGTTTACCACAACGGTGTTTGATTTGAAAATTGTACACCTGTAACTTTGCCAACCATCTTACTACCTGCCCTTCTGGATGTCTATTCTCGAAACCGGGGAATAGCGTTTTCACGAGAACGGATGGTCTGTCTTTGTCAGTCTTATGGAAATGTAAATATGAGCGAATAAGACAGAACCTTCGTTCTCATGAGAACGCTACTCCCCTGTTTCGAGAATAAGGGCCCTGGTTGTTTGATGTTGAGAAGCCATTTGGAAGGGCTTGGTAATCACTCTGCTGTAGTATTCAATGCCCCTTTCTTCTTTATCTTGTATTTGCGACAGGACAGCTTCGATCCCCGTGTTGCTTGCGTCTGTGCCCAAAATAAATTTTCTATGTAAACTCGTGGATAGCCTAATTACTCCGGTGCACTAATGAAATGGTATATGCTTGACCTCAACAAATTCACTTAAAGCTGCCACCACTCGTGTTCGATAGTTCCTATGAACATACTAAAAGTCCCCGTCGCTGTGAATGGTGGAACATCCCCAAATCCAGTCCGCCATCTTGATTTTTCGTCCTTTTATTAAAGGACCCCGCAATATTTAAACGGAAATTGGTTACCAGTGATATTTAGATGAAATTTAAATATGTTATTGGAAATGCCGTAAGCAAAATTTTTTACCATGGGCGTCACCTTCTATATATGACAGGTGAGGCGGTATCAGCTGTCAAATATTGGAATTTAATATTCAAAAGCAGGGTAACTATGGCATATTTTGATGAAGCAAGTATGGATTCCCAATAAGCCAACTAAATAAAATCGAAAAATGTCAACCAATTTGACATTTGTCAAAATCTTATGCCAAACGGCAGCACTCATATTTTTCAATTTTCAATATTTATGTAAACTCTTAGTTCAGAAATTGGAAGAAAAAAAAATTACAGAAATGTCGAAACTTGTCATTTGTTTTAGTAACAAAAAAAAAATCCAATTTGGCCCTTTTTCGTTTGAAGGTAGTTTATTGGTGATAAATCATTAAACAAAACTCATAGACATCAAATTTTGACAGCTGTCAGATTAGCTTTAATTGAAGAAAAAAAAACTGAACTATAGTTTTGTTCCAATTATTTAGGTTATGCTTATTTATTATGAAGCATGAACAAACATACACAGATTTCAGATTTTGACAACTGTCATAATCTGATGTCTATGAGTTTTGCTTAATGTTTTATTACCAATAAACTACCTTAAAACAAAAAAGAACCAGTCTTGAATATTTTTTCCTACTAAAATTAATGACAGGTTTTGACAGTTCTGTAATTTTTTTCCAAGTTTTCAACTCAGAATTGACATAAACTAAAACTGTCGAATAACACATCATAAAATATGGAAAACTGAAAAATATGAGTGCTGCTGTTTGGCAGGGTTTTGACAAATGTCAAAATGATTCACATTTTTCGATATACCTTGTACGGCTCAGTAGGAATCTTGCTTCATCAAAATCTGCCATAGGTACCCTGCTTCTGAATATGAAATTCCAATATTTGGCAGCCGATACCACCTCACCTGTCATATATACAAGATTGCCACTCCAAATATCACGGGTAACCAATTTCCGTTCAAATATTTGTGGAGTCCTTCCTCAGGCTCAGGTGCTCCTATTACTGGTGACTCGTGACTTAAGCATATGCCTTAGATATTCCTGTCACATATGTATGTGCCATCTAGGTATTTCTCAATTGCTTTGTCTCAATTTTTGTCTATTCCTAGCTCTTGAATCTTCAATATCTTCTGAGCTTCTTTAAAGAAAGAAAATTCAGAAAAATAGTCAAAATGTGAGAGCCAGGAATAGGAAAACTACGTCTTTTTATCTAACAGTTTTTCTTCAATTTACTTTAAATTTCCTCTTTATTTCTCAATTTCATTGAATCAATTTTTGTCTATTCCTGGCGCTTGAATCTTCAATATCTTCTAAACTCTAAATAAAGAAAATTTAGAAAAACAGACAAAATATGAGAACCAGGAATAGAAAAACTATACGTCTTTTTGTCCAACAAATGTCAAATGCGTCAAATGTCCTCTTCATTTCTCAATTTCTTTGTCTCAATTTTTGTCAATTCCTGGCTCTTGAATCTTGAATATCTTCTGAGCTTGTTCAAATAAAGAAAATTCAGAAAAAGTAGACAAAATATGAGAGCCTGGAATAGAAAAACTATGTCTTTTTGTCTTAATTGGCTTCAATGATCCTCTTTTAGGGAAACTCTTGGGCAATCTTACTGGTAGTCAAAAAAAATCTGGGGAAATAATTAATGGGAAATCTGGTCTACAAACTAGGGGAAATCAAGAGAAAATTTAAGGCAATCAGGGGATGTCAGGGAAATTCTTAAAGAATTCAGGGAAAATTTAAAGGAAATCAATCAATCTCTAGATCCAGCGCATGCACAATTTTCAAATATATTTATAATTTGAAGTTATGTTATTATGAGAAATCTTGGGAAATCTTATTTGTATTAGAAAAAAACTGGGGAAATAATCCATGGTACACCGCAAAGAAAATCTGGTGTACAAACTAGGGGAAATCAAGAGCAAATTCAAGGCAATCAAGGGAAATCGAAGAAATTTTTATGGAATTCGGGGGAAACCTTCGAAGAATAGTGGAAAATCTTAAGGAATGAAATTAATCTATAGATCCAGTGCATGGGCAGCATCCGGAAATCTTTAAAATTTCAGGTTATGTATCAGGAAAATTCTCAACTCGGCAGTGAAAAAATACATGCATGTTTATCATCGACAAAATATAAATGCAAGTCTGAGCTTGTTGTTTTTGCTATAATCGAAACGCTTATCAGTTATAAGTAAAAATAACCGTGAAACATGGTACCCCTGTTTGTTTCCACATTAAACGTCGGCGGCATGATGATTCACGAATTTTCCTTATTAACCATTACAGCATCCTGTAATGGGATAACATCATGACGTCGAAAAATTTGGGGTTGGCCCGGGTCAAATCCCCGAAATTTCAGACCAAATGCGCCGCCGATCTAGAGATTTTCCCACGGTATTGAAAAAGGACCTCGCAATATTTAAACGGAAAATTGGTTAGCCGTGGTATTTGGATGAAATTTAAATTTGTTATTGGAAATGCCGTAAGCAAAATTTTTTACCATGGGCGTAACCTTGTATATATGACAGGTGAGACGGTATCAGCTGTCAAATATTGGAATTTAATATTCAAAAGCAGGGTAACTATGGAAAATTTTGATGAAGCAAGTATCAATTCCCAATAAGTCAACCAAAGAAAATCGAAATATGTCAATCATTTTGACATCTGTCAAAATCCTGCCAAACGGCAGCACTCATATTTTTCAATTTTCAATATTTCATGTTGTGTCATTTGACAGTTTCAACCTATGTAAACTCTCAGTTCAGAAATTGGAAAAAAAAATACAGAAATGTCGAAACTTGTCATTTGTTTTAGTAACAAAAAAAAATTCAATTTGACTCTTTTTCGTTTGAAGGTAGTTTATGGGTGATAAATCATCAAACAAAACTCATAGACATCAAATTTTGACAGCTGTCAGAATCTGACATTAGCTTTAATTGAAGAAAAAAAACTGAACTCTAGTTCTGTTCCAATTATTTAAAAACTTATTCACAGGTTTTAGATTTTGACAGCTGTCAAAATTTGATGTTTATGAGCTTTGCTTAATGTTTTATTACTAATAAACTACCTTAAAACAAAAAAGAACCAGACATGAATCTTTTTTCCTACTAAAATGAATGACAGGTTTTGACAATTCTGTATTTTTTTTTTTTAAGTTTTCAACTCAAAATTGACATAGACTAAAACTGTTAAATGACACATCATGAAATATTGAAAACTGAAAAATATGAGTGCTGCTGTTTGACAGGGTTTCGACAGATGTTAAAATGGTTGACATTTTTCGATTTACCTTGTTCGACTTAGTAGGACTCTATACTTGCTTTATCAAAATCTGTCATAGTTACCCTGCTTTTGAATATGAAATTCCAATATTTGACAGCCGATATCGCCTCACCTGTCATATATACAATGTTGTTTACGGCATGTTTAATAACATATTTAAATTTCATTTAAATATCACGGGTAACCAATTTCCGTCTAAATATTGCGGGGTCCTTTGTACTAATATCTCGAACACTGTGAGGTTTATCAAAAATTGTCAGGAGACAAAAAAGTTTCTAAATATGTTTTTTTTATATAAGAGCGATGAAATATAACAACATTCACAAACTGTGGTAATCTCTGTAGACCTCCAAATATTGAAAATATTACACTTACCTATGCCATTTCGGCTAACTATTTTTGGTAATATTTCATATACATATACAGCTCTTTGACGGAAATGTACACGAAATGCAAGCCGTTGTCTAGTGTTCCAATACACGTAGTTTTTGTAATAGATGGAGGCTACATACTTCACAAAGTCACCTATGCAGAGATTTTTGAGCAATATGAAAAGTTCATGGTTTCATTATGGTACAAATTGTACAGCGGTCTTTGATGGGTATGATGGTTTACCTAGTACTTAATCTTTGGAACAAATGCGGAGATAAATTATCTTGTGCTGATATTGTGATATCTGACTCAGTAGTTGCAGCAGTAAATCAAGAATTTTTTTCAGTAACACCAACAATAAAAAAATGTTTATTAATCTATTAATAAAAAGCGTTTCGTCATCTAGCATAAGTGCAAAACAAGCAGAAGCAGATGCAGATGTTTTAATTGTCCAAACAGCTTTGAATTTGAGGGAAAAGGAGACTTCTGTGACAGTTATTGGCCAAGACACGGACTTCATGGTATTACTACTCCATTTTGTTATAGATAACAACGTTTTTATGTTACAGCCCAGAAATCAAAGTCAAGCAATCAAAATTACCGAAAATTTACTTTTACAAAAAGCTTTAGGGCCAGTAGTAAGTAAAATTTCATTTATCCATGCAATTGGCGGTTGAAATAACACATCTGCAATGTATAAACAAGGAAAACTGAAGCCTATTAAAGTTCTAGAAAGCAATAAAACTATTCACTCATTAATTTCTGTTTTCCAGAATGTAAAGGCAGATGAGGAAGAAATTAAAATTGGCGAAGAATTTCTCTTACTTGTATATGGCAAAATTAAAATATCTAAGATGCTTATTAGTGACTTAAGATTTCATAAATATAACAGCTACCACCCGTCAAAATTTAAAATCAAACTTTGAACTTGCTGGTACAGGTCAATTGCGCGTGGAAGGTACCTGCTACCGATATCTTTGGTTTATCACCCAAAAAGGGCAGGGGACGATTTCGCGCGAAATGCAAATTAGGTGCGGCGTTTTAGATGATCCTTAACGAATCCATTAGGAACGGTGCAACATTGTGGTGAATTTAGCCACCCGCGGAATATCGTTCGGCATCCTCCGGAGCTCCATCTGTCTGCTCCCCAGACTCTTTAAAATATCACTGCTTAGATTGTATTATCAAATAGGTACAACAATGGTTAGGAAATAATCTTAATTCTCTGGGATTTGGTTAAAAATGCAAGGTTGCGGGCTAGTTTTCGAAGAGTTACATCCTGGAAATAAGAACTTTTATTAGGTATCGAACATTTCAGCTAATCTGAAATTTTTGAAGGAACCAGGAACTTGTCGAGTAGGGCTCAGACCTATTTTATATCCAGTTCTCTTGAACATTTTTCAAATTCCTATTTGTTTCCAAGTCCAAGATATTGAAGTAAACTAGGAATAACTGCGAAAAATCGGATTTGGGGATGTTCCGCCAATCACATTAATGGGGACTTTTAGTATGCTCATAGGGAATCTAAAAGCTATTAAATAATGGTGGTGTCAGCTTTAAGCTAATTTGTTTACCCCTGACCCCTAATTGCTCGGGACTAAATATAGGACTGGAACATAGAGCTGCCTTAAGGTTCCCAATCAAAAATAGCTTTTTCTTCGAGGCCATTCACGAATTGCTTGGATTTTTCTCTGGTGAGTATTAATTCCTTCGGGTGAAACTACGTGGTCAAGAAAATCAACGAGCTGTTGGAAGAGTGATCATCGAAAGTTTTTCCCATCACTAACACATCATACAGGTAGATAAGGCATACTTTCCATGCAAGTCTTCGTAGTACGAGGCTGTTTGAATAAATTAGTAGGTATATCGGCAATATAGATGGCACATTTTTGGTAGGTAATTCCTCTTGATGTTGTTTACCCTCTGGAAGGTCGCGGGGGCGTTTTTAAGACCAAACGGCATACGCAAAAATTAGTAGTACAGTGGTCTAATCGTAAGAAACTGACATTTCCCCAATTTACCTAGTGAATCTGTGGGTGGGTACTTATGTCATCTAGGAATTTTGTATCTGTCTTTTCTCTTTTACTTATATGTATCTATTTTCTTGGTCCAGTCAAAAATAGCTTTTTCTTGTACAAAGCCCAAAGAAACTTCTGAGTTCTTGTTTGTCCCCATTTCCCCGGCTTTCTAATAGCTGACAAAGTGGGGTTGAGTGTTAACTTCCAAGAGAAAAGAAAAGAAACTTCCGCGTTAACTTTTTGTCTGGCAATCGAAAGAATAAAAGGTTTTGTTGTGAAAATAAGGCTGAAAAATCGCCAGACGGTAATCACAATTCGAAATCGAGCAAATCCGCAAAACATTCTGTGGGCATTTCGAACAAGGAGCAGGCATTGAAACCATCTATATTCTCATCAGCTAACAAGCCATATTCAGCCCTCGAAATGCCAGACAAAAAAAATGAATTCACTAGACAGGCCCTATCTCAGGGTCTTATAGAGATACATATGACTTGTGTCGTGTCATACAGTTTGGCTTTCTTCTATCAGTAAAATTTCAAGTTGTTTTTTCAGTTTTTTTTCTAGTTAAGAATTATTGTTGAATCTTTGGTAATTTGATTAGGAAACAGAATGTTTTTCTTAGTTATTAATTACTGAACATTTTCAGAGAGAAACTCAGTACGACACGGTAGATGCTGGCTTGCAAAGTGAGGCACCTGCAAAGGCTGCTAAACCCAAAGGCGATAAAAAGGGCAAAGGGAAGAAAGGTAAAAAATGAGGACAGAGACGATGGAAATCAGCAGCAATCACTGGATAAAAGACCTGCGAAATAATGTTTTTTTTCTGTAAATTAACTTTTATTACAAAATTTAGACATTGTCATCGTATATAATATTATAGTAGGGAGGAAATTGGCAGGATATAGACAGCAGTGAGTAAGGTTTCTGTAATCATAATAAGTCCTGATGAAGGTTTCAAAAATACAACCAAAACGCTGACAACTGTCTTTATCTTGTCACTTTCCTTTGTATTCAACATTATTAAGGACACAATTTTGTCATTTTAGTGAAGTAAATTTTTGTTTGAATTGTAAGTCATTCTGTTACACCTTTAAGTCAATTAAAAAGAACAATATTTATATCACAGGGTAGAAAAATTTATTGGAAAATCAATGAAAAATGTATTTAATACAGGATGTCTCACGAGATTTGTCCCAGGTGATAATTTCGGAACGTGTCATCGTATGTTCCACTGTGTATTTTTTTAATCATTTTCTTTAACAAAGCCTTAACAAATATGGCATTGCTGATTTTGTAATTTAATTGTCTAAAATTGGATGACACATGTAGAAACGACACAAAAAGTACCTCAAAATTTAAAATACAATGGATGACGCGGTCCAAAATTATCACCCTTGTGGGACACCCTGTATATGTTTATTAATTTCCTTTCAGATCTTTTCTTTTGCTGATTTTTGAATATATTTTTTTTTTCAATGGACCAAGATGTAACATCATCATTTACTTGCGAAAAAAATCAACTATACACTATATTCATTCTAGGAATGATTGTTTTTAACAATAATTTACCATGAACATCTTCAAGTGTAAATTTTTACAACACATTCATTATTGCAGGTATCACACTATACAAAAGGAGGAGGGGATAAAAAAACCTCTTAATAACTCAATGGAAAATTAGATTTTTCTTTATAGCTAATTTTCTAAAGTGGAAGATTTTTTTTTAGAAAATATTTTATACACTATGGCGAGTGTGAATGGAATTAATTCATTATAAGTTACTTCTATTCAAATCTTCGTTACTTATAATGAGTTTATTCAATTTTATAAAACTCACCCTGTACACATTGAGCTTCTTTCTAACAAAAAGGCTCACTATATCTAAAACTTAGGCTATAAACAAAGAGTATTTTTTTGGTAGTTATCCTAATTAATATCAAAGCCTTTCACCACAAATAGATGTAAAAATAAATAAATAAAAATATATTAGAGAATTTCGTTCGAGAATAAACTTATGGCACAATTAAATCTAAAAAATGCACTTTTGAGTGTCTGATACTTTTAATTAAGCCTAGTTCGCACCAACAAAATAAATGAGGCCTGTTTTACTTTAGGATTCTCCTTTTGCCAATGAAAACTTCGTAAAGGTGGCAACATTGATCTCATGCATCTCTTAAATCTTATCAATACAATTTATATAAAAAACACACCGCCTCTAAAGATGTCTACCGCAGCAGTAGACGAAACGTTAGGTATAAATACTACTCGACCATGGCATTAAAGCCCGGAAAAAACTTTTCTACTAATACAATTTATGTTGATGTGGACTAGGCCTTAGAAACAATATTTCTTAAACTAAATGCTAAAACGATCACTTGATTCTTAAGATTCATAATCTCAATTTAATGCATAATTATTGCCTAAAAGTCGTTTCTTTTTTTCAAATTCAGAACTGGACTATAGTACTGTTACAACTGTCTAGATTGTGATTTAGTTCGTTAGATCCTAGGGTAGAATCTGGAAATTTTCATTTACCAACTAGATTTTTTTGAATTCTTCTGAACTTTTTGAAGTCTTCTTTTTCCAGCTACGTTTCACAAAAAAGTCTACTTCAAAGGTTCAAAATGCAAATTCCGAGTCACATGAAGACTATGATTAAATAGTCAAAATGCTTAACCAAAGTTTTAATGGTTAAACTTCAAAGTTCCAGTCTCATGGACTTTTAGACTTTTTGCTTAAACTATTTTTAATAATCAGAATGTTTCAACAATTTGAGCTTTTTAAAAACCTGCTAAGATTTCAAGTTTTTTTATATTTGTTCTACTTTTCAGAATCCTGGGTACACACTGGGTATAAGATTTGAAAACTCATAATAATTGCTTCCAAATTGAACAATTTTAACCAGCCTACTTGTTTCATTGATCTAAAGATTACTAGAATCAACAAAAATAAAAGGTCCCATAAAATCCTATTAAGTCTGCACCAAAAACTTTCTTGCTTCAAGACTAGATGTATATATATTTTTTTTCTATTTTTATAAAAATAATTGACCTAAAACAATATCAATTCTTTGGTTGCAAACTACTAATTCAAATCGACCTCGCCGGGACTCTCCAAACGGAAATGTTTAATTTGCCCGTGCTCTACTAAAGGTGTTGCCAGCTCGTCGCTGTCGATCCGAATCCGGATTTTGTTCATTTCGGGAAACGAACTGGGATGATGGATCTTTTGGAGGTCTCCATTATGAGGACTCGGTATGGGGGTTTCTGAGGGCGAGTATGTTGTTTCTAAGGGTGTGTAGGGCACGTAGATGCGCAACACGTCAGGACTAGGGTTGTGAGGCGTGGCTCTCGGTGTGGATTGAGCGCTGGTTATTGGTTTGTTTTGCATGAAACCTAAACAGATAAATGGTAATTGTGAGTTTTGTTTTACATACATGATAATATACGTAAAGCCCTGGTTTCCTCGAAAGCGGCACCGTCAAATAGCGACCGTCATATAGCGGTGGAAATATTTTTATGTCATTACATTTACAGTGACTCTCACCGCTACCTTAGAAACCGCTTGCAATGAAAAACATTGAACAACTTCTTGTGACGTCACTCGCCGTAATGTTTCGGTCGCTATTTGACAATGCGGCTTTCGAGGAAACCCACGGCTTTAAAGTGTAAATTAGAACTAGCAGATATTGTATGGTCATGTTAATAGTAAACAGTGTGTTCAAAAAAAAATAATTTGGAACGTTCAAATGTTCAATTTGGAAAATAGCTAATTGGTAACCCAGCCTAAAAGATAAATATACAATTGGACAATCTTAACAGGGAGTAAATCATTTTACTGCTGGGGCATTTTACAGCAGGTACCTACCCCTAATGATTTTCAATTTAAACTGGAGAATAATTTAAGAGAAAATTTCCCAATTGAAAAAAAACATGGTCGATTTTGATTTGTGATTCAGGGCACTAATTTAGATTCGCAGGATTTTGTAGATAAAATCGTTAAAATAGAATCTTTGATACAAACTCTGTCATACAAAAAATTGATACGAATGAAAATAGGACCCCGCACATGGGATTTCTGACCGCGGTCAAATTAAACCAAATTTTATGTTAGAGATATGTATAGGATATTTGAAATAAACAACATTCTCCAGGAAAATTTAAATTTGGAAAAGTATCAATTTAACTCGGAAAACTAGAATGACATTTTAAAATGCCAGGAAAAGGCGTAACCTCAAACATTTTCAAAATTTCCGCTTACGGCGGGGTTGATTTTCAGGGAGGACTGTAGACCAGCTATTTTTTGAAGCTTAAATAGACTTACTAGACCATCTCACTGCACACTTGCAAATCAGCTGTATGTAAAAGACAACGAGGATAAATTCAGGGTGCATGGTGATGTACAGACCTATGACACAAGACAGAGAAACTTGTGTTTTGCGCTTAGCACACTTTTGTACAATCACCTTGTTGCAACTTGCAGGGGTGATATTGCACTATACTGAGTTTGAGTATGAAATAAAAACTACTTCCTTTGACCAATTATACGTCGTTTATTGATAGTATATCAAGGACCCACCTCTGAAGAAAAAATAATTCAATCATTTTCTAAATAATTAAGGCATAGAAATCGCCACAAACAAAAATGAATGAACAATGAATCAATGAATGCCATAAAACAAATAATTAGACTTCTTGGCTTCTAGAGCCGCTAGAGCCAGCGACTTGTCTATTCTTGTTGGTGTTAAGTCTACGGTTGAGGCCAGCCTGGCATAGCACAGCAGAGGAACTACAGAGGAAAACTATTCCTGTGCTCTGCCAGAGCGATATCCGCATATTGAACGTAAGTAGTTAATTTTTCTTGTGTTTTCGTTATTAGTTTTTTTAAAAAATATGGATCCAGCCGCTCAGTTAAACTTACTTTTGGATTCGGAAATAGAAAATATTGTCTTTTTATATAGTTTGTCAAAAAGGCATTAAAAATCAATATGGAAAAACGATTATTTGAGGAAAAGAATCACTCATGGTGAATTCAATTTAATAAGTGAACTTGATGATAATCAAAATGAAATGAAAATTTCTAAACACAAAAATTTCTATATATTTTGGTGTGATCTTCGCCCGCAGTGAGGCCGTAGAGGCACAGGCAGAGGAAAAAATTTCCTCCGTCTAGTCCTTACAAGTTACTACGTGCAATATGTGGCACTTTGTTCATGTACGTTACAAAAAGGCTTCCTCTGCTCGACTGTGCTGTGCTAGGCTGCGCTGCCTTCAATGTGCGCCTATCCTATACTTGAGAGGGTAGGGCCGCGCATCCCCACAGCTGATCGAAAGAGAGAGAGAACGGTGGCGGTACGCGATTCCCTAAAGACCGCCCTTACACTATGCGTTGGGTTAATGCTGTAAGCAAATCCCAACAACTTGATCATCCCAGCTTAGGACGGAGGATCTGGGCTATCTATCTTTTGGCAAATGTGAGTACTACCTACTTACGTATATTATGTATTACCAAGAATAAATTGAGTAATGAGTATTGAGTATAACTACAAAACAAAGACTGAAAACCATTAGAATTTGTCTTTACTAAATTGAATAAATGCTTGACGAAAATACAGTGCTTTGATAATGTAGTTGCTGATATATTATCAAGAATTTCTACAATAAACTTACAAAACATATTTGATCACCATCAACATTGGTTAGAAAGTCAACAATCAGATGAAGAATTATTGAAATTATCATGTGACAATCAAAATACTTCACAAAAAAATGTCAACCCTTTATTCTTTTGAATTTACGCAAACAAGTTTTTGATAAAAATCATTGTCTTTAACATCCTATGGTTCTTGAGCTACTAGTTAGATTTACTAAAAATACTTTTGTATGGCCAAATATGGAAAAGGACAATAATTTTATTGTCCTTGTTATATTCCGTGTCAACAAGCCAAATAAGTTACAACACAAGTTTGTAGTACCAAAAAAAAATATGAAATTCCACAGACAAGATTTGAACACGTCCATATTGATATCAACGGGCTCTTCTCGCCTTTTGATTGTTATATACCTACTTATATAGACAGATTTGCAGGATGGCCAGGCCCAGAAGTTTTTCCCATTAAGAATATAATGGCCGTAACAGTTTCAAAAACGTTTTTAACTGATTTGAAGCTCTGTTGAAAATAACAGCTAATTAAGATGGATTCGAATCACCTTTATAAAGAGAATTTACTTACAATGCTTCCGGGCATTCACCCTCAAGTTGTATTAGAGCATATCATCTCTATGGTAATTACGATGAGGGAAATGTCACTCAAGTTTTTTTGTGCATGGTCTTTCCCCATATTTTGACATCCCCCCTGCAGCCTTTACCTTTACATGCAGAAGATAGGTGTGCTTAACTGACGATTTATCAAAAAACGTACGTTCTCTAGAAAACATGGGCATTCCTACACGGAATCATGGGATCCACTAATAATATATTCAGTTACTAGCAAACTAGATAGTGAAACTATTCGATACAAGGAGCAATTTGAGCTAAGTGATGAGCTTTCAACTCTGAACTCTTGCTGAATTATAAAAGTTTTTGTCGTCCAAAGCAGATAATTAGAAAAAAATAGATTTGCATAAAGTAAAACCTGAACATTTTGGTCCAACACTTCTCACTTTGTTCCAGAGGCCAATGACAAATGCTTTTCTTCAACTGAGCAAGGATATCAGTATAACTCAGCTTTTAAGTCAAATAATAAGTTTATTCCATCACCTAACTATAATTATTTTTACTGTAACAAACCTGGCCATTTGATTTATAAATGTCAAGCATTTTTGACGCTTTCCTTACGAGAAAAAAAAGAAAGGCTCAAGTTTTTAAAAACTTTGTACAAATTGCCTACAAAAAAATCATGATGCGGGTCAGTGTAAATTTGGTTCATGTAAGTACTGCAACGAAAAACATAACTCACTATTACACCCTTCACTCTTCGAATGAGCAAACATCAGTTAATGTAGCTCAAACTTCGCATTTCAATCCTTCCGACGGATCAGTTCAGATATTTGAAGGAAATGTGGAGTGTTCAGATTGAAAATCTCAACATTCGCAAGGTCACTTTGAATCTCAGAAATTTAGTTGCGGTCCTATAGGGCAAGGCCAAGTCTTGTTAGCGACACCTTCAAATGAGGTATAAAATCCATCAATTCTGACTTTCAAACGGAATTGTATTTTTTAATTGTTCCCAGCATCGCAGAAAGTTTGCCTTATACTCCGATAGACACACGTGTATTGCCAATATATTTTTATTTAAAATTAACTGATCCTCGTTTTTTTGAACCCAGTAAAATTGATATTCTCATTGGGATAGGGATGTTCAACAAACTTTTGCGCAATATGAAAGAACATCTTTGGGAGACTATTTCACTAGAGTGTATACACCGGCAATAAATTCCGTATTCACCTAACAATATTGCTACCTGGACAATACCAACAACATGGTATTTCAGCGACCATTTTTTGACATTGTCAAACTGATACTTTTAATTTGAAGTTTTTATTCACATTTTTGCATTCTATTTATTTTCAAAATCTTCGCCTGACGGCTCGTGATTTTGTCAAAAATGTCATTCATATGTCATTCGCGAAATTGCCAAGCAACAAACTTTCATATCTTTCGAAAATTTTGCCGACAAAATTTTTTCTCTTGTGATATTATATATGAAAACATGAATGTTTTCCAGAAAAGCAAACTTGGTTTGTTCATATCAGGGTCAATTGGTTCCACGAAATTAAAAAATGTTTCCAGCAATCTCTTGAACACAAGGAATACACTTCAACGTGAAGTTTCGAAAGGATATTGGATAACGCACACCTAACATAAGATTTTTGGGCTCTATGGATTTTGTCCATTTTTTGATATGTTGTAGAGGATTTAATTTTGTGTGAAGAGTATACGAAATACTGACTGGTGCTACTGGTGTTTATCAGTCAAAATATTGACAGATCCACATATTTTAAGTCACTATAGATTATTGTCAATATAGGCTAAGGCCAGGACCACACTGGGGCGAATGGTGGCCCCAGTGCGGTCCCAGCCTTAGCCTACGTTGACATTTGTTAGTGACGTAAAATATGTGAATCTGTCAATAATTTGACTGATAAACACCAGGGTTGCGTTTAGAAATAGCACCCTGGGTGTGAGAGTGATCCTAGAGTAACTCTAAACCGTTCATAAATTACCAGGTGCTTACTCGGAGCGTTACGCTGGAATCGTTCAGAAATCGAGAGTTGACACTACCCCCACACTCCATTTCTAAACGCACTCCAGTATTTCGTATACTCTCCACACAAAAAGGCGCAAAAAAGTTCATCTTTCAACGCTCATATCTCAAAGACCGTAATGCTTACAAGATTTCGTCCCATTTAAAGGTTGTTAAGAATTAGATGCTCTACAACATATCAAAAATGGGCAAAATCCATAGAGCTCAAAAATTCCACGTTAGGTGTGCGTTATCCTTTTAGGAAATCGAAGAATTGTCTCTAAAAAATTATCTGTCAGAGGAAGAGCAGCAGCATAAGTGAGCAGCAGACTGAACTCAACTTTCAGCAAACCTTTCAAAGAAATAATGACGGTCGATTTGTGGTCAATTTTCCTTTAAAAATATCCGATTTCAATGTTAGGCGGTTTTCAACAAGTTGCTGTAATACAATTCTTCGCTTTGGAGAAACGGTTTTCCGCCAACCCAAAACTCAAAGAAATGTATGCAGAATTCATGAGAGAATATTGCAATATGGGATACATGTCTCCAGTTGACATTTCAAGTGAAACTGTTGCATTATTTTCTCCTCATCATGCTGTAATTAAAGAAGAAAGCTCTACTACAAAATTAAGAGTAGTTTTTAACACTTCCTCTGGCGTTTCATACAATTCCTTGCAATTGTTTGGGCCTTGAGTTCACGAGGTCGTTTTATCCATACTTCTCCGTTTTAAACAACACACGTTTGTGGTAACAGCAGATATCTGCAAGATGTACCGCCAAATTCTGGTTACCGCCACATTTAAACCACTTTAATTAATATTGTGGCGGTCGCGGTCGAATCCAGAAGACAATTTTCAGGCCTACTCCTTGAATACTGTCATGTATGACACACCAAGTGCCCCGTTTCTGGCAACTAGATGTTTGAAACAACTCGCCATAAGGACAATATGGCCAGGATTTCAGAAGTTATCAACGTGATTTTTATGTTGATGATTAATATCTCTGGCGCAGATTCAGTTCAAGATCTTACTTTTTTTCTGTAGCCAAAGTAGCGTTTTATCCAGGGCTGTGTTTCCCTTGAGAAAATGGAAAACTAATAGTCAGGAGATTCTCAGTTTCTTGGAAGAGACCATTTCTTCTACAGATACCTATTATTTTAATTCAGCAGAAGCATGCTATGGTCTAGTAAGGCTGGTTCATTATCATTTCATATTGATTTTCAACCCAACGTTAAGGCTATAACAAAAAGGGTCATCGTATCTGAAACTGCAAAAATATTCGACCCTCTAGGTTTTGCTTGGACCGACTGTCATACAAGCGAAAACAACTTTGCAACAACTATGATCCTTGCAACTAGGATGGGACCAGACGATGAAGTTCCACAAGAAATTGCGAAAAGGTGGCAATCCTTTCAATCTTAGCTTATTGATCTCAATTTGTTGGTAATTTTCAGACATGCTTCTTGCAAAAATTTGTTACAGACTGAGCTTCATGGATTCTCAGACGCCTCTCAATACGCATATGGAGCATGTATCTATCCGAGGTCCATTGATTCATTAAGCAATGTATCCATTCACTTACTCACTTCCAAAACCCAAGTAGCCCCGCTCAAGGCAATCCGTATACGTTGTTCCTCACATCAGCTTAAAGTTTTCGTAGGAAATAGAATTTTTGAGATTCAAACCCTTACTTCATCAAGGTGTTGGCGGTACGTTCCTACGGATCAGAATCCCGCAGATTTTCTTTCTTCGGGTCTTAGCCCGAAGGCCCTTCTTTTTTCAACGGTATGGTTTCATGTACCAACATGGTTATCAGAGGATCCCGCTTATTGGCCAATCAACATTTCGTTAACAACCTGGTCTTTATCGGAAGAACTTTCAGAAATATGAAAAAAGGAGAAGGTTTTTGTTCAATCACAAGTTGATAACCTCTTTCCGTTTGAACGGTTCGCCTCTTTCACTCGCCTTAAGCCCGGGACACATCTATCATGCATCCTTCCGATCCGACTCCAATCATACAATGAGGGTCCTTATTCTTGGACAACAGGAAGCAGCGTTCCCAGGAGAACGAGTGTTCCGCTGCTCCCCTGTTCCAAGAATAAGGACCTTGATTGTATGATCGGAGTCGGATCGGAAGAATGTATGATAGATGTGTCCCTGGCTTTAGACGGGTTATGGCTGCATGCTTAAGATTCATTTCAAATTGTAAACTTTCTTAGGTAATCTTTCAGTTCCACAACTAAGTTGGCTGAACTTTCTCAACAAGAGTCATTTACTGAGGACATAAAACAGTTTGAAAAATCAGGCTTTGTGGGTAACAAAAGCAGTCTTCTTAGTCTAGCTCCATTTCCTTAAGATGGTCTAATTCGAGTAGGTGGTCGGCTGCGTCACTCTCTCATTCCTATGACAAGAAGCATCCGATTCTACTAAGTTCCAAGCATCACTTGACTTACCTAATTCTGAACTTTACCACTGTCGTCCTCAACTTCTATTAGCAAATATACGTGAAAGGTAGTGGCCTATTTGTGGCAAGAATCTTGCAAAAAGAATTTTCAGAGATTGCGGTTTGTGTTTCAGGTTTAAACCTAAATTTTTACATCCAATAATGGGCGATTTGCCCTATTTGCGAATTTCTCCTAGTTAGCCATTTGCAAATGTTGGTAAACTCTGTTTAACCAAAGTTGAACGTTGAAGGTCACTTATATATTATATATCACAGACGTTGCTTTTTGCTGCTGTCTTTATTGCACGCGCAATGTGTAAGCAAACCAAAATAGGTTCGAACGTGTGAATCCCATGGTTACAAGGATGAGTAAGTGACCTTCAACGTTCAACTTTGGTTAGACAGAGTTTATGGATTATGCTGGTCCATTTTACTATAACGACCGTAAAGGTCGAGGAGTCCATAAACAATGAAGAGAATTAAGTAAATTTCTTAGGTCAAGTAAAGATGACATTTATGTTCAACCGGAAACCTCGCTTGACATAACATGGCACTTTATCCCTGCTTATTCACCTCACCAAAGAGGCATCTGGGAAGCAGGAATAAAGTCTGCCAAACATCATTTATTGAGAATATTGACTTCTGCACCTAACACATTAACATTCGACAGCTTTTGTACAGTGGTTTCTCAGGTAGACAGTGCACTGAATTCAAGACCATTAACAGCTCTATCAACAGATCCCAATAATTTGAACGGTTTGACACCTTCCCATTACTTAACTGGCCGCACATCAGAACCGTTACCTTATCATGACCTGGAAGGCAATCCCACAAACAGGCAAACTTTAGTACAGCCAGAAAGACTAGAGCAGTTATTCTGGAAACGATGGTCAATGGAATACATTTCTTAGTTGCATCAACGTGTAAAATAAAAGTCAACCAATACCTGAAAATTGGTGATATGGTTCTCATTCAAGACAATGATTTGCCTCCTATCAAATGGCGCCTTGGACGTGTCTGTGCAGTGCATCCGGGAAGTGATGTTGTCAATAACTACTACTTCAGGTGTGATCAAGCGCGCTGTGGCTAAACTAGCTCCTTTATCCATTGCAGACAATTCTGACTCTTAGGTTAAGAAGTTTATGTCGTTGTTCTGGCTTCGAGCCCATGTATTTAGTGAAGGTTTAATTGAGAATTATGTCGTTGTTTTGATTTTGAGCCCATGTATTTAGTTAAGGTGAATTAGGAAACTTTTGTTTTTGTTTATTTAGGCTGGGCAGCATGTTAGGAATTCTTATTTTTGCATTATGTTACACAAATATAAGAATATCCTAAAATAAAAATTACTATAAATAGAACGCTCGTTTCGAAAAAAAAAAAGAGTGTGCCCAAGCAAAGGGGTGTGCGAGACGCATAGTGCTTTATAATATAACCAAGGTACTGAAAGAAAACCGAGAAAGTAGTGTGAGTCGCTTTCTATTCGAGTTAGTAGTACGTCGGTGACACGCTGCGCTTTTATCATATTTTCAAAATACGTGTTCGATCCTGTCGTTATTGGGCTACCCCAGTATTTATTGATAACTCATTGAGTTCAATTAAAGAAACTTTGGCGATGTTGGGTCATTTAACATACCAGTTTCTTCTAGAACTGATTAGTGTAATTTAGAATTAGCTTATATTGTATTGTTATGGTAAGAGTAAATAGTCTGTCAATAAATTAATAAACGCTAAAATGTTTAATTTGCATGGAAAATTAGAGATACATAACTATATCTAGATACTCTTTATTTATTTGAAATTGAAAATGCTGAAATACCTGATCCAACTGAGCTTGTCCCGCCGACCGAATTGTCGCTCATATTGCTGTGCGTGTCCAAACTGTTTTCGTGAGCTTGCGACCGAGTCACCGTGGAAAAAACGGACAGGTCTGCTGTCGACGTCACACTAGTATCAGCCAATGACCGTCTCGAACCGTTGTGTTCACAATCCAACAGTGAACTGGCGTCGTCCATCGACGGATCAAACGAGAACTTCGAACCTAGGAATTTAGAATTTTTAATTTCTAATAGCAAACTTGTTAAACTACTGATTAGTCTGAACATACCTAAAACTATGTTAGTCATAACATAACACATGGTGCTTTTTAGATACATTTTACTTAATAAAATTCACATGCTTCTATATGTACTTCTTCCTAATTGTGTATGTTTGAAATAATATAATCAAATTAAAAAGCATCTAAAAAAATAAATTAAATAAGTGTAGGTGTCCTCTTACCGGGCTTGGTTACAACAAAAACCACACTGTACACTGACACCAAATTTTAATACAACTGTGTGAAAATTGATCCTTTATGTTGGGTTAATTAAAAAAAAAGCATTATTAAAAAGGCAACATGAATGCTTTGAAAACTCAAACCTCAAACCTAGAAATCAGTTACTTTGTTTTGGGATGTAGTGAATTTGGGTTTTATAGAATCATGCGCAAACATGCTTCCAAACTTGTTAAATTCAAAAGGTGTTCTTTGATTCAAATCGACAGATAAATGAAAGTTTGATGTGAGGATAAAAATTCTCATTGACAAGTAAAAACATCATGCAGAAAAGTAACATTTTTAGTACATAAACAAAACGAAAAACTATCTAAATCATGCCAGAAAAACCTACCTAAACAAAAAATCACGGATCCCTTCAAATGCTCACTTCGGGCAAAACTGGAATAATTTTTAAGATTGCAGAAAATTTGTATTTTGAGTGAGTAGACAAATGATCAAAACCGTCACCGGATTAATAATAATTATTGACACTTTTTTTCTTAGGATCGGACAAGGGTTGTGGTTAGTTTGAACATTTTGTATTAGCAAATAAAGTTTTAACCAAAACCAACACATAAGTTTGCCTGATTTCCGTACAAAATAGTTTTATTACAAATAATACATTACCAAAAAAATATATTACAAATTACCTACGTTGTTTGTATTTCTTTTTTTTTAACTTAACTAAAAGACCACAGATAAATAAATGAATATGTACACAAAAGTAACTTTTGGGATACCTAAATCCCTAGGATTTGGCTAAAATGATTTGTTCTCAACCATATTACCCTTAAAAATGAGAATTACATAAGTACTAACTTAAGATACTTAAAAAAAAAGAAATTGGCAGCGGCAAAATTGATTCTACAAAGAACTGAAAAACATATAAAATACTGATTTAATTTTTGTCCTAAGGGCAAATTCATTTGAGGGAAAAAAATGAGGTCATAGCATTGTGACGTCATTGTCCTCTTCCTCAGAAAAAACTATTCAAAAATGCAATTTAAAAAAAAAAAGCAATGCACAGGCAAGCTAACGATGAATAAAAATCAGTCTGACAAAATTGCCCTCTAAAGCCTAGTACACTCAATTTCTTGACTGCTGTGGTTCTCGTCCGCTATACTGCTTTTACTAGCCAAAGTGGTGCTACTACCGAGCGTCGAATTATTATCAGTGTCCGTACCTGTATAGCCGACTGAATCTCCAACTGACAAGTGGCTCTCTTTTTCATCGTCTTTTTCCGCTCCTGATTCGCGGGCCATGTCGCTGGTTAGCGTCACTATCTCTTGCGTTTGCTAGAAAAAAAAAAGACAAATTTTTAGGTACTATAGGGTTGGTACGAAATTGGTTAGAAACTACCTTTGGTTTTGATAGTCCGGATAATTGAATCTGGTGCTGGCGGGAAGTGTGTGGGAACGCTTGGAAAGGGTCTAAAGGGTCAATGATTTAAATATAGTCAAGTAAATTAGAATAATTATAAACATCTTCCTTAAAATTATGCGTTTTGGTGAACTATGTCTTCATTTTAGGAAATAATATAAAATTTAAGAAATACATATGTTTTTTCGATGAGTATTAAATAATATGCTTAATGATTTCTGTTATCTGAAAAATTATCTAAATGTGAAAGGGTGCATTTTTCATTTGGTTATTTGAAATTGATTTTCAAGATTTTCTCAAGTTGGAGTTTTTCATCGAATTAATTTAAAATTTCAGCATGGATGAGATCATTTTTTTCCTCTCGAGGGGGCAACATTATCACCAGAAGAAGTGGGCCAACTGACACCCAGGAAAATAGCTTTCTTCGGCAGAAGTCTACGCTTCCTGGAGACAACTTAAGATGTAGGGTCACGTACAAAATATCTGCAAAGGTAGCAGTGCTGAGCGGCTGAAAAGCCGAAACGACTCCCCCACAATCTACAATCTACAACCCATCCAGATAAACTGAATTTTTCATGTCCGCCTATTTGGCCACAGTGGCAAAAAAGATTTGAGATATATGTCTGTATCAGGGCAAAAGAGCAAGAGTGATACAAAGAAATTTGATTTGCTTTTATATGTAATGGAAATGAGTCTGAAGATTTACTGATGACCTTTACAGAGCCACGACCAACCACATACAAAACTATGTTGGATGAGTTCGAAAAGCATTTCATACCAAAGAAAAATACAAACACACTACTTTCATTACCCTGTTTGGTCGTTTTTTCTGCGAAAGAGTACCCTTTGGTATAACAAGTGCTCTAGAGTATTTATCTATTCTCCTGAACAATATATTGTCAGGAGTCAATGGCGTTAGTTAAAGATGAGGGTATTACTCTCAACAAAGGCAAGTGTGTCTTTGGTACACAGTCTTTGAAATTTCTTGATCATACGATATCTCATAAAGGTATTTCTATAGATCCTGAGAGGATAGAAAATGTCAAGAGTTTTCCAGATCGAACCAATAAAACTGAATTGTTACAGCTTTTGGGCTTAGTAAACTTTTTGAGTATTTTTTTGCCAAAAGGATCTCAAGTACTTGAACTATTGACTTCTCTATTGAAGAAAAATGATTTATTTGTATGGGAAAATGCCCAAAAAAAAGCCTGTGAAAATGTATTTAAAATGCACTCACAGTTTTGCTTGATAATTCAACAGATTTAGAAAAAAAAACACATTTGCTTAGACTATTTTTTTGTTTTAAATGCAAATTTGTACCATAAATGGGTCTCCGAATGCATCTCTATGACTATTTGTTTCAATTTAGATTGTTTTATTGTTGAAAAACACATTAAGACTACCTACGTGAAATAGATTTTTAATGAGCCAGGTCAAAAAAGATGTCCCTCAGGGATCAATTTTTGGACCACTGCTGTACATTATCTATACAAGTGAGCTTGCAAATATAACTGGTCAGTCGACCGATAGTTCAATTTGCAGACGACACTTGAGTAGTCTTTTTGGCAGAAGGAATGGAGGAATTAGGCAATAAAATTCACTTAACTGGTTTGAACTCAAATAACCTGGTTTTTAAAATTGTCTTGTACCGCGCGTTCAATTTATCTTGATAACATTTTAATTCGCTGTAACTTTTTTGTTTTTGAAGGTATCAAGGTAAACAAAAAAACAAAATGTAGGGTTATTTCCCAAGTTTTTTTTCAAGTTACCTATAAAACAAAACACTATCAATTTTCTGACATATGAGCCTACATTAAATTTTTTCAAATGGAACACCCTGTATATTATGCATGTGTTTGATAGAATATCTCATTCCGATTACAATGATATAACACTTCTTCATATTTTAGTCCACTCGCTTTTGATAAATCGGCAAAAATATATGAAACTTTTGAAGTGAAACTTATTAGGTGGCGCTCTGATATTTGGGGCGAAAATTATTATGATTGAGAGTCTATATAAAAACTTCATATTTTTGCCGATTTGTCAAAAACGACTGGACTAAAATATGAAGTGTGTTATATCATTGTAATCGAAATAAGTTATTCTATCAAACACATACATAATATACAGAGTGCTCCATTTGAAAAAAATAAAATTGATAGTGTTTTGTTTTATAGGTAACTTGAAAAAAAAACTTGGCTACTAACCCTACATTTTGTTTTTTAGTTTACCTTGATAACTTCACAAACAAAAAAGTTACAGCGAATTAAAATGTTGTCAAGATAAATTGAACGCACGGTACAATTTGAAACATACTTAGATACTCCAAAAATCCTCACCTTTTCTTTCTCACTAAATTTCTCTTTCCTAATCCCAACAATATCCTCAAACGTAGGCTCCAAAAACACACCGAAAGGTCTTTGAGGAATTTCGTCGTTGTGCGGCGGACCGGGATGGTCCAGTTTACTTTTCTTCAGCAACTCCAACGAGTGCTCCAATTCGCGGACGACCGTGTCGTCATCGAACAAAAAATCTTTGTACAATTTAACTTGGATAAAATTTACAATGGTGTCCATATCGTTGAACCTCAACAGGCTCCTCTTATGCATTTTGAGTATTGTAAAGGCCATGGCAGTCACCACACGTTCGCCATCATATAAATATATATCCCAGATTCTTAAGCATAAACTAAATGGTACCTAAAAAAATCAATATTTTTTTAATTATAGCCATTAATATTACTAAATAATTATATTACCCTTTCAATAAAACAAACAAAAAACCACTTCAACGAATACAAAATAGTATCCAGTCCGTGTTTATCGAAATGTTTTTTCACTTTTGGCAAGAGCTTGGTGAGGATTTTATCGTGGTGGGCCAGAAACCGGGTCAATTTCGGAAACCCTTCCTTATAGAGCCCGTGCATTGCATATTTGGGATCACTGAGTAGAATATGTACAGCCCAAAAAGCATCTTCTTCATCCATGTACATTAGAAGTACACCTGCAACACCTGACATTCCTTGACAGTAACCAACTTCAGAATTGTACATTGCATAAGCTGTTAAAACGTTGAACAGCATTTGTTGTTTGATGCTGTAGCGTTCTCTGTAGTGCAAGTGTTCCCTAAATTGTCTATTGACATCAGAATCAATTTGTCTGGCGTCTGTGGAATATTTCCTGGCCAATTTCATCATTTCCTGGTACTTGCCCTTATTTTCTTTTTTGATTTTTTCAATGTGCAACAATTTCAACCAGACGTCGCTGCGCAAGGAGTTGGGCACGCCTTTGTAGACTCTTGAATGCAACTTTTCCTAAAATTTCATCAATGTTAATTAAGTTATCTTTTAAATGGTATCGAAAGTTACTTTTGTTTGTGGAGATTCCCAATTCTTCAACATTTTCAACCACTTTTTCTGTCTTTCTACCTCAATATGTAGTTTTCTGGTTTCTTGCGGGTCCACTTTGGATGGCAAACGTTTATCATGAATAAATCCATATCTAAAAGTTGAAATTATTGAAATTTTCATTGAAGTGTGTTAACTCACTAACCTGTCTGTAGCATGGTAAACTTCAAATCCGGGATCTTCCCAAGGGTCGATTTCAGCACCTTCTCGACCCTGTTCATAACGTTTGAATATTTTCTCTCGCTCTTCAGCAGATCTAATAAAATATATTTAATTATATTTTTGCTGTTTTTTTTTTTGGTTTGTCTTACCTTTTTATAAGATCCTCTTCGTTCATCCCATTGAGTGATTTCGTGACAGTTTGACGAAAATTGGTATCCCAATCATACCTTGTTGATGAATGTTGGAATGGTCGATGTTGGCATCACAAACAGTTTGAATTCTAATGTAGCATCTGAAATAAAATAATAATTGTTTTAATACAGTAATTACAACAAAAATTTTTTAGAATCGGGGTTATAATGGACAAATTTTGCTAGTAATCTTAAGTAATTCAAGTTATTTCAATGACTGAATATAATCGTCTGGACGTATCCTCTGTAAAAACGTACCTACCTCAATTACCTATATACAAGGTGTTTGGTAGGTCGATGCATATATTTTGGGAGTTGATAGAGTGAGTCACTTAGAACCTATTTAGTCAAATTTACCTTTGTACCAAGTCTTACGGTTTTTAAAATATGGCCGATTTAATTTTTTCCTCATAAAATCTCACAAATCTTGTGTTGGGCGCTTTAATATATATATATAAGTCTTTATTTAGCTTCACCAACTAATTTACAAATGAATCACTAAATATAATTACATTTCCAATAATAAATAAATATACATTTACTGGTACTGCCTTTGGTACTAGTTAAGATATTATACATATCAATTCGGTAAAAAATAAAAATAATCATAAAAGCAAGAGTAAAAATCATAGTAAAAAAAATAGATAATATATAAAAAACAATACACCACAGCCAAAAACACACATTTAATCACTTAAAATCTATTTATGACATTCACCCAGCAAAAGAACCCTCAATTTCCTTTTCAATGCAATAAGATTGTCAGAGTTTTTAACATCCCCTGGCAGATTGTTATAGACAACAAATCCCTTATGAAAGACGGACCTCTCTCAAGATATTTTAGATTTTACAGTTACACGTAGGTCGGTTCTTGTACGAGTATTATAATAATTATGAATATTTTCACTATAAATTAATTTTGTATTGAGATATTCAGGTGTCATACATACAATTTCTCATCTTAAAGATAAATACCATTGCCTGAAACTCCAAAAAATACCCCACCGATAACCAGTTCAAGTTTCGTAGAAGGGTCTTTATCGGAGTATCCCTAGGCATACCTAGTAGAATATGCATGGATTTATTTTGTAATTTTTGCAAGCGATCTATTTCATTTTTGTTGACCATGTAAAAAACTGTAGATGCGAATGTTAGGTGGAATAGAATAATAGTATTATAAACCATGCTCTTTGACCATTGAATAAGAAACGGTGCCACCCTTGCAAAGAAGTTAGTATTTTTAGCAATTTTATTATTTATATAGGTGAGATGTTCTTTAAAATTTATATTTCGGTCTACTATTATGCCTAAATATTAAATTTTTTCCACTGATTCAATAGTACAGTCGTTTTACACCAAGTTATCACACATCTGGTTTTTGACGCATTAAGTTTAAAGTGAATTAGCATTACACCATTTTATATAAATGTTGTCTGCGGTGGGACTCTGTAACGAATAGAGATATTTTTTCTATCTCTATTGACGTTTCTTCTCTATTGATTTCGACAAGAGAGAAGAAGACCTTTTACCTTTCTCTAATGAGGTGTTTCGATACTATTGTAAATATTTTTTAAGAACTCCAATGTAATTTCATCAGGACTACCCTTGTTTGGTAAGCTAAAAACTGCTTTGCCCTGCTGTTGATTCGAGAAACACTAAAAACTGATCAAAGTTGTGGTATATACTTCGAATGATTATATGAATTATATTAATATCTCTAAATGTATTATCAAAAAAATTTACTTCATTTATACCGAGATTTATACTATCACAAATGTATGTATCACAAGCCTTATAATTGTCTAAAATATTGTTTAATTCGGTGAATTTTATAGTGTGTATCTGTATTGGTAAACGTTATTTGGTTTTTTCATTTATAAGCAATTTGCAAGGTCATTATCACATTTAATTTTTATTAGAGGTTTATGGTCAGCCTGTTTCAAATATATAATACCATTTACACAGAATGCAGCCTTATAGCCTTTTTTCGTGTCTGTGCCTTCTAATCCACATTTCTTAGATGTTATTCCCCTTAGTTTTTTAATGTTTCTTATGGCTTCTTTCTTAGTATTTACATTGCCAAATTTGACCAAAATAGAGCTTACTTCTTGTAGTGACCCTTGAAGCTTGTGCTTGTCGAGTTTTTAAGAAGTCTGGTGGCTGTGCAAGGTTTGGCGACGTTAATTACTACAGAACGCGTAACGCGGATAAATTGTATGTTCCTTTGGCTAGGTTGTCTCAGGTGCGGGATGGTCCTGAAGTTACATCACTGAGAATTTATAATCATCTGCCTGAACGCATTAAGAGCACTACGGGCTTTCAAATTTTTAAGGGGACTCTTAAGGCCATGCTTGCTGAGTGCCCTTTCTACTCCTTGATTGAGTTTTTCAATCATAACTTCATTTAGATTCTTGTAATTTGATTTTGTTTTTTGTGAATGATATTTTACCTTTATTTTATTTATTTGACAATTCCGATACATTGTACCTATATGTCTATGGAAATAAACGATTTGATTTGATTTGATTTGAAGCTCTTTTACTTTTTCTGGGAATTTTTGTTGTTAGATAGATGTTTGGGTAACAGCTTCTAGAGAAGCTACTTTTGATTTTAATAATTTTATGTCAAATTTAACTACTTTTTTTCTCTTTTGGAAGTTCTTCCAAAGGTTTTACGCATGTTGACTGTTGAGCAGAAGTAAGGCAGAACTCGCTCTTTGAATTCAATAAATCTTATTTCCGTTGAAGGCCACTTTTCACAGATTTCACACAAAATTATTTTACACAGGTGACGTGGTGCAGTAAATGGTGTTTTAGGAAGCTCTCTATCCTTACTTTTTCCTATTCATTTTATTTTACACTCTGCACACATTATACCCATGGCTTATTTATTTATTTTGTTCTGTTCTTGACACAAATTTAAAAGGGAATAAGGGTACGGCTGCCATTTATGAAATTTGTTACCTAGGACAATTTTTACAAAAACCCCGGATTCTAACCCCTCAAACCCGGACACCACTAAAGGGTAGCCCACCTTAGGCGCCGCCGGAAGCAGAAGATTTTTTTGGGTGCCACGCCCAAAAAAGTTTATTTCAAGCCTTCAAGAACCACTCATTATTTTGACAAATAATAATTTTTTTGGGGTTTTCTATAGCTTTCCCTGAGCTCCAAACATGACTAACGATACGTGAATGTGAAACTTGAGTCGCTCACACGCAAGCTGAATAAAACTAATGATGTCGATTGACGATTTCCATGATTCTTGTCAATTTTGCGGAGTTATTCCTGATTTTTTTCAAGATGCCGTAAAGCGTAAAACACGGATAACTTCAAAAAATCCCCCCGGACGCCTTCAAAACTAGGACAAATCCGGACGGATGGCAGCCCTAAATAAGGGGAAAGGGAGAAAAATGGCAATAATTGGTAATGTAGTTTTGAGTAGTAGTTCTGTTTGGTAATTACATTTTTACGTTGTGTAATTGATTGTAGTGAAAGTGGTTAAAGCCCGTTGATAAATAAACAAATAAATAGGTAAAAAGGAAATGCCATACCATAACTAATGTAAAACTGTATAAAAGGGAAACATTTTACTGCTTATACCTTGGATTCACACTCAGATTCACAAGTCAAACAAGACTATTATTGACCAAACATCACATACCTAAATATAACAATTATTGCAGAATAGTTTATATTTTATAAACAATACAGATAGGAAGCGATATCATCGTCGAGTCAGTGACTTCCTATCAAATTTGAATTCTACCTACTTTATCAGGGAAATATGAGAATTAAGTAACCGAAAACCACCCATAATTTGCATAGAGGAATTGACTACTATAAAGTGGGTAGAAGAGGTAAATTGCTGTTAGACTAACAGCTATAATTTATTAATTAATTAATACTGTATATTTTAATTGAAATAATTACCAATACAGGGTATAGCAGTAGCAGTACTTCTTGAGAATGTAGGGCAGTTTATTTAGGCCACCAAAAAACTTCTCAAAAACAAATATTAAGCAAAAAGGTAATTAGCATATTCAATTTCTTCATACAACGAATATTTTGTAATACATTAGCATCAGTATTGTATTGACGAAAAGAAAGAAATTTCCGATAATCTAAAAAACCTACACTTGATGCACATCTGTACAATTTTTGTCTCGATTTTGATGTTATTGCCCAAGCTAAATTTAATTGCAATAAAGCATTATTTAAACAATCAGTTAACGGTTTATTTATTTAATCAACTTACCCTGGTATTTAATAAATAATTTCCGGAAAATTGGTGTAAAATTTCTTCAACTTCATCAACACCACCGCAACGACTGTCAACAAATAAAGATGTCAAAACATGTGTATAACAATTACAGATTTCTGCAATTTACTTATGTGGCAACACTGTAAACATTGACATTCAGTGACAGTATTTTGACATAAAAATAAAACTAGTTTTTTGTGTCTGTGTACTGTGTGTGTCTATTAATTTGTTTAAACAAATAATTAAATAAAATGCCAATTTAACGTACGACCGTTTGGTAAATAATTAAAATATGTCTACCAGGTCTCAGCTCACCAAGGATTTAAACGGTGAGTGTCCATTTTCATTGATAATTTGTTCAGGAAATATTATTGTTTACAATTCGACAGGGGAGTGTCTTTTGTAAATTCACAGTTTTTTAATTGTTATTATCAATTATTATCGAAATGATTCATTACACTGAAACATACACCACTCTTTTATAATGTAAATAATTACTCCAATAAACAAGATTAGTCATACTCTTTATTAAACTAAATCACTGAATCATTCCATTTAAATAAGGTTTTTCGAGCAATTGAAACAGTTCAGAGAATCATAATATTTTGACCTAGAACTTTTGGCTCTGTCTTGCATACTAATTTGAGCACAAAAATGCACAAAGAATCTTAAATAAGATGGGCAAGTGTTCTGGAAAAGGTGAATTCCTCAAAGAAATAATAATATTTGTTTTTTCAATTTTTTATTGGTTTTCTTATGTTCTTATTCCAGAAAGTATTAAATCCTCAGTGGGCAACAAAGTGAAGATTCTCTTCAAAAATGTGGTGCGCCTTGAAACCAAAGGAGACAAGACTGAAAATAGGGTGCTGGTGAGTGTTTATTTATTACAGACCTTTACCTTTTGCTTCCTGCCAGACTAAATTGTTTACATTATTTATTTTAACACTTCCTTTTTCCTGTACCAAATAGCTGAGCCGTGAAAAATCAATATTTACCGTACATTTAAATTTGCCGCCTGCTAGTTCATTTGGCAATGTTGTTTGCAGCCAGCTGATTTGTATTTAAATTTTGCATTTAGTTCAGGATTTAGGTTTATACGTTTTGGCTTTGACTAGTGATTTATTTAAAATTTAAAACTGTGTACATTTATCAATTTCATGAACTTTTTGTCCTCAGATGAAACCTAACAATATAATCTTTGAAATCTTTCCAATGGCTTAGTCTTGGCAACGTTGCAACTGCCTTATTTATAAGTATAATGGGGGAGTACTATCGATAGTGGTAACTATCGATTGTTCATTGTTGCAAATGACTATCGATACTTTGGATAGAGTACACAAATCCACAAATGACAATATTTTATTTTATTTTTATTGTCATTTATGACGTATTTGTTTTTCGTTCACATGTGTGATATAATCCAATTTTCCAAAACTTCGTCCAAAACTATCGAATTCTACAAGGGCATCCCATTTGAAAAAAATTACATTTTTCTCCAAACGTCAGAAAAACGTCACTTTGTTAACTCCTGTCAAGATGTCAGAAATTTGATTTCTATGCTGCTAGTAGTCAAATCCAGCGGGTTAACACCTGTCGAGGTGGTAGAAATTTAATTTCTATGCTGCTTGGCAACCCCAGCGGCAGCAAAAGTACTTTTTTCTCCAAACGTCAAAAAAACGTCACGTTGTTAACCCCTGTCAAGATGTCAGAAATTTAATTTCTATGCTGGTAGGCAAATCCAGCAGGTTAACACCTGTCGAGGTGGTAGAAATTTAATTTCTATGCTGCTTGGCAACCCCAGCGGCAGCAAAAGTACTTTTAGTGCCTCTCGTACTTTTACTGCCGCTCAACCATTCAGTTACCCCCGAGCTTACCCCATTCGTTTGGAGAAAAAATAGTGTGTTGCATACGGAGTAGAAGCACTTTTTTGTGCTTCAGCAGTATTGCAAGCCTCATTACGTTCGGCTCGCAAACCTACTGCTTCAGCACAAAAAAGTAAAGCTTCTACTCCTAATACAACAATATACCTACTATTAGTGCCGCTGGAGCGGCAGTAAATTAAATTCATTAATTTCGATAGCCACTAGAAATAAGGCAATTTCTAGCAAAAAAATAAGAATTAAGCCTTGGATCACTTGTGGCCTTCTAGTGTCTATCAGAACCAGAGACAAATTAAAAAAACAATGTACTCTAAATCAGAACAATATTTTTCTATTAAACAGGTATAAAAAGTACCGCACTGTTTTGTCTAAGCTTGTGAAAAATGCCAAATATTTCTATTATAAAGAACAAGCTCAAAAATATGCAAAAGATCCAAAAAAACTATGGGGGGTGATAAGGGAGGAGACAGGTGATAAAAGTTGTCAGGCTGAAATAAAAAATATAGTTAACTCTAATAACACAATAATTACAGATAAAAAGGATATGGCAAATGCTTTTAATGAATATTTTACGAACATAGGTAGGAAGTTGGCGGAAAGCATTATAAAATCAAACAGCTCTATACCTGGTGACACTGTTGTTAGTGGGGAGAGACTGGAAAATTCTTTTCGTTTAGACCCAGTCTCTGAAAAAGAAGTCTTAAGGCAAATAAATAACTTAAAAGATGGGGTAAAGGGGGAGGATGATAGAATCAGTTCAAGTATTGTAAAAAAATAAAATAAAGATATTTTAGTAAAGCCACTGTGTCACGTTATAGGTGCTGTTTTTGGTGCTGGCAAGTTTCCTGAATGCCTTAAAACAACTATTATTATTCCTCTTTATAAACAAGGGCACAGAAAATCAATGAACAACTATCGGCCAATAGCACTAACCAGTACAATTAGTAAAATTATAGAAAAATGTCTCAAGAGCAAGTTAGTTAAATTTTTAGAAAAAAACAAAATTTTGAACGATAGTCAGTTTGCTTTCAGGGAGGGTGTCAGTACCGAGAATGCATTGTGTAGGGTGACGGAAACAATTTTGAAAAATTTAGACCAAGGAAAAAAAGTAATTTGTTTCTTGACCTTCAAAAGGCCTTTGATACTGTGGCACACCGAATCCTGCACAAACGTCTGGAACATATTGGAATTCGAGGTGTCCCCAATTATTTAATTATGTCATATTTGACTAAAAGAAAACAAAGTGTCAATATTACAGGAGAAGAAAGTGACAGACTAGAGGCAGGAATCGGCTTGCCACAGGGTACTGTATTGTCGCCTTTACTTTTCAATATTTATGTAAATCAGATATTTTCGGTTTCAGATGAGTGTAATGTTTTTTGCTTTGCTGATGATACGGGGGTGGTGATTTGTGGGGATGATTGGGGAGAGACAAAAAGAATAGCAGAAATGGTACTCTTTAAAATTAAATGTTGGCTAGATACTTCCTTGCTATCATTGAATGTTGATAAGACTAAATTTGTTGCTTTTTCGTTATCTTCGCGGTCACTTCCCGAGTATCAAAATCTTATAGTGCATGAATCGCAATGTAAACAAGATAACCGGTGTCACTGCAATCAATCCATAGGGAGAAGGGACAGTTTAAAATATATAGGAGTTATAATAGATGAGAATTTTACCTAGAAGGTTCAAGTTCAACAGGTAACTGATAAAATTCGGAAAGTTATTTTTAAATTCTATGAATTGAGAAACATTTTGCCCTTAAAAACCTTAAAAACAGTTTACTATGCTCTAGTAGAGTCCATTATGAACTATGGATTGATTGTATGGGGTAGTGCTAGAGTAACTATAATGAATAAACTACAAATAGCTCAAAAATGGATTATAAAAATCATGCTTTTCAAAAATAGGACATACCCAACGCACCTGTTATATAATGAAAGTTATTTGCTGACTCCTAATCAACTTTTTTTAAAATCCGTTATTAGATTTATGCTAAAAAACTCAACATATCGAGAAGCTATAAATCATAATATTAATACAAGAAGTGTAATGCAAAATAATGTTATGTTGCAAAACCCTAGACATGCTGTGTGTCAAACTCACATTTATTGTGTAGGACCTAAAATTTACAATAACTTGCCTGTAAGTATAAGATCAAAACCTTATCACTTAGTAAAAAAAACAGTTAATGACTGGTTAATTGAAAGTAATTTTAATATAAACTATCTAATATAATATTATAACATAGATATTTATTTAATTACACATAGCTAATTATAAAAATTGTTACTTACCTCAAAAGAATAATTATTAATAAGTTAGAAAAGCACACTCACAGTATTTAATATACCATTGTGTGCTATTAATTGCAATAGTGAGGATTTTTTTAAAATTAGTTAAATTACTAGAATGTTGTTAAGTCAGTTGAATCTGTTAATATTATTAACTATTAAATTTATTCTATTGTTCCTTTGTAACTACTATTGCCAATAAATAAAAATAAAGTAGAAGTACTTTTAGTGCCGCTCGTACTTTTACTGCCGCTCAACCATTCACTTGCCCCCGAGCTTACCCCATTCGTTTGGAGAAAAAATAGCGTGTTGCATACGGAGTAGAAGCACTTTTTTGTGCTTCAGCAGTATTGTAAAATCGCAAACCTACCGCTTCAGCACAAAAAAGTAAAGCTTCTACTCCTAATACAACAATATACTATTTTCTCCAAACGTCAAAAAAACGTCACTTTGTTAACGCCTGTCAAGGTGTCAGAAGCTTAATTTCTATGCTGCTAGGCAAATCCAGCAGGTTAGCACCTGTCGAGGTGGTAGAGATTTAATTTCTATGCTGCTAGGCAACCGCATCGGCAGTAGAAGTACTTTTAGTGCCGCTGGAGCGGCAGCAAAAGTACTTTTAGTGCCGCTCTCACTTTTACTGTCGCTTAACCATCCAGTTACCCCCGAGCTTACTCCATTCGCTTGGAGAAAAAATAGCGTGTTGCATACGGAGTAGAAGCTCTACTCTTAATACAACAATATACTATTATGATGACATTCAATTTTTGTTTCTGATCATGGATTCTAAAAATTCAGCCAAATCTCCACAACTTCCTTCTACCTGTAAATGTAGAGACTACACTCAAGACTGCATGTAGGTTGGGTGTCATATGGGGAAACACCCTATACTTACAGGGTGTCTCATTTTGTTTGTACATAAGGGATAACTTGCTTGCTATTTGAGAAGTAGAAGAAGTGGAAAGAACACAACTATTTAGTAGAGATGTAACGTGAAAAAAAAAACAATCCTTTTTTTTTGTTTTTTTTTTCAGGTTTTTTTTTTATGGTTTTTTTTTCAAATGTTTTTTTTTCAGATTTTGTGTTTTTTTTTCTAAACTTAGCACCTTATGCGCATTTTTTACGTTTTTTGCCAATTAAACTTTTCTTGAGACAAAAAATTGGTTTAAGTAGGTAGTGAAATATGGATAAAGCGTAAAATGTTGCTTTATTCTAGAAATAACATAGGAAAAATGGAGGGAAAAATATTATTATGTGAATGAAACATGTTGTCAGGTAAGGTATACATGGTAAATCAATATATCAACTATCATATTATATCACATCATACATTCATCCTTTTCATACAATACAACATACCTACATACTAGAACAGAACATCACTGATGTGAGACACTTTCTCTGTCTGAAGAATTTTCAGACTGTAACTCTTCCTCAGAAATCAGAATTATTTTGAAAAAAAAAACACAAAAACATGTTTTTTTTCATGTTTTTTTCAATGTTTTTTTTTTCAAATCTGAGAAAAAACCGTTTTTTTACATCTCTACTATTTAGTCATGTTATTTCTACCGAGGATCTCACCTAATCTCATTTCACTTCACTTACTTACTTAAGGGCCCCATACACTACGTTCTTTCTCGTCGGTTTTCATCGCCGCGATGAAATACATCGTTCTAAAACCGAAATATGTGGTAGAAA